TCCGTGGGCATTGCATTAGCATTAGGGATGCAACAATAACCGAAATATCATGATATTGTATCGTCAGAGTTTTCATAATAATATCGTGGATCATGGTGCAGCAATAGCTAAAAAAAGACAGAGTACATTGAGCTTGATCCTTTGCTCCGTTTCAATGTAGACTACAAGAAGAAATAACAGTTCTAAGCACTTTTAAGTCTTAGTTCTTTGCTTTAAGTCTTGCCAAGGCATTTTAAGAGAAAAAAAGTAGCATATTAACAGTTTTGTTTGCAGCCTCCACATAATATTGTAATAAATATCGTACCGTGAGATGTATATCGTGAAAATATTGTACAGAGAGATTTGGATATTGTTACATCCCTAATCGTGAGCCTCCCCACCATATCGTGAGCTTTCCCATAATTTCGTAATAAATATCGTACCGTGAGGTTCATACAGTGACGATATCGTATCGTGAGACTTTCATATCGTTACACCCCTAACTAGCATTCAAATATTGTCTCACAAATTCAGACACTTTCATCCCCTGTAGGTCATTTAAAATCCTATGTCATCAAAACGTTAAAAATTCTATAACAAAAAAATAAATAATTAGAATTTCCAAGGTATACGTATTAATTATTTGGTTTCTCTGTTAAGAAGAATGGAAAAAGTAATAATTAAAAAGTAAAATTTATGATGAAATGTGTACTATATCTGTAGATGAAGTGACACTGTAGTGACACTGTAGACACAAATGAACTGTAGTGGTCTTAACTTTTCTGTGAAGATTATATCAACAAAACAACAAAACACAATTGTAATTTTTTTTAACCAGGTTCTGATATCACTGATGTGTCTGAGTGGTTTTCATTTGTCAAATTTCTAAGGATTTTTTATATTTTGTGATATTCTGAAGATAATCCCGGTTTTGCCATTGAAATTGCATTGTGTTCCACTTCACTTTTCCCTCCAGTTTCCTCCACTCCATAATTTTGTATGTTTTTGTTTACAATTAGGTAATGTTTTGTCTGTGTTCTGGATAATGTTGAGATATTTGGGTTTGAATTTCTGGGACTTTAATAATAACAATAATAACACTGACCTTTGAGTTGTATAGTATAGTGTAAAAGTGCTCTGCTCATATAAACCTAAATATGCACCCAACCCCAAAATCTTTAGTGTAGAAGGTATTCGGTACAAGAATATAGCTCAATTTTAACAAAAACATCAGACAGAAGTCCCTAATGTTGTCAACAGAGAAGAAAGGTTTACACACAAAAAAATATGACTTGTATTTGACTTGACATACTGGTCAGATCGGCTGAATTTTAGAAATATTTCAGGTTCTGCAACTTGTACAATCAATTTGGCAGTTGAGCTACTCTTGACACTTTCTTATCCATGTCAGTTATACCTGAAAGGTCAGAGCCATTATATGTGTTATGTCATGCTCTGTGGGACTGGGTCTTGTTCATTGTGAGTATAACTTTGCTAAGACAAATCCATGTTATCAGAGTGGCAGTTGTGTATTACAGGGCCCTGGGGGGATGGGGGACAGAGATTTGCTATTTGCTTTAAGAACCATGGTAAATATAGTGAGAGTTATCTGACACTGTGATGCTGACAGAGAGCAGAGCAGCGGGGACAGTCAAGTGGAAGTGGCTTTACTCAGTCATAAGACTTCAAACTTCGAGCATGACCAACATTGGATGAGTATGATTTTCAGGTTCATCATTTGCTGTAACACTGTATACTTTTTGATATAACATTTCCATTTGGTGATGTGGCAGTAATTACTTGATATTAGATTAAAGAAATATGAGTAATTATACACGTTGGTGGACATTTTGCAGATATAAAATTAGGTGAATCAAATAATGACGCAGAGTTTGTTTCACGGTAATTGTTTTGAATCCATTGTTTCCGTATTTCTATTTACGTGCACAGTTTATTTATACCCTATCAAATTTTATCTGCATTCTAGACCTGCGGTATGAGTGCAATGTTGTCAGTCTGACTTGTTTTTGCTCGTCTGTAAACAACAACAATGAAAAATGTACTACTGCCACAGATTGGGGAAAACTATCAATTCTTTTTTTCCCTTTTTGTTGGATTTTGACAGCAATAAAACCAATAAATAATAGTCTATAAAATCCCTACAACAGAAGCCAACTACTGAAATAATGCTGTTATCTGTGTAGTATTTCTATAAGCTGTGATATAAGTACTGTGCTCGGTTAAGGTGGGACTCTTCTGAGGAATCCCTTGACGTCAGGTTTGCATAGTGCAGTGAGAATTGTTTGGGGAGTGAGATCCACTTTGTATGTGCATGTGAAAGTACGACCTGGAGGTGACTCAGGAGCACAGGGGCGGCCAGGCAGGGTGACCTCGTTCAACAAACTGACACTCTCCTCTGCCAGGACCAGTGTGGACTTTGCATGTTCTTTTCTGTACATGTTATGTTCTCAGAGGGGCTTCATTTCCCTGGCTGAAAAATAGAATTCTGTTTGTTTGTTTGTTTTTTTTACCACCGTTGTATTGTTGTCTATACACCAACCAAATGAAAATGAAAGTGCCTTGTGTATTTACCTCTAATGAGGAAGATAACACAGTGGAAACGATATAGGTCCACCACAATTTGTTCAAGCTAAAAAAGTTATTTGTGCAATTTATACATGAATTACTTTATCATATTTACCTCTTCATACAAAGCTGTTGAATTAAAGAGTGGGTGATATGACCACATTTGTATCTTTATATTACTTTAAAGAAGCAACTTTAGCAATGTGCTTCTTCTTAAGAGCTCTCAATACACTGTGATTGGTTAAAATTGCCTGTCACTCAGAGGCTGACCAATAGGTGGAGAGGGTGTGAAAAGGTGTCTGTTTTTTTTAGCATAGAACTTGGGAGTGAAGGAAGCTTTGTCTAACGTTGGGAGTAAATGACAAGCTGATAAGTTTGAGTCAATAAAGGTGTGAGTGGGAACAGAGCTGCTGGGGCAGGGGGGGGGGGGGGGCAGGGGGACAGGAGGGGCAGAGGGGTGTGATAGTGAAAGATAAAGTGACAGAAAAGATGAGCAGAGCCTGAAATAAACAGCAAGGACATCAGTTCTGTCCAGCACTACAGAGTTTCACACTTCGTGTCATGATTCAGCGATTTGAGAGCAACTTGTCATCACTGCTGCCAGTCTCTTGTCTACAGCTTGTCTTCGTGCCGTCATTGGATTATCATTTAAAACAAGATGTTGCTAAAGTCACACCTTACAGTAGAACAACATTCCCCAACAGACAAAACATGACAAAACATGTAAAAAATCTAGTTGAAAGTTTACATTTTCTGAAAATCCCATGCATCCCATGCATAATAACTATGAAAATGTTATCCACTGCATTTAACCCATTTCTCTGGGCTGTTTGCTCCAGTTCTTGAGGTCATGTTCAATTCCTTGACCAGCTTCTGTTTTGAATGGAGTTTGCATTGCCATTGACGTGTCTGTGTGCATTTTCCTCCTGGTAGCTGCACTATGACTGCCCCATTGAATGATGGAAGGACAGTAAACCTTATGGACTTGTGGTGGTTAGAATTATAATTGGTGTACCTGGCAGAAATTTGGCAGCCCCTTCCCCCCTTGGCATTCTTTGGTATACTTGCCATTTTTACTAGAGAAGATGAATTCAAGCTATTAAAAGATGGAAACAAAAAACACAGTGATTCCATTGTAAACATAGCCTAAATGGATTTCACCTGAAACAAAGTGGTCCAGGAAAGCCTATTGAAAATGGTGCCATATTGTAAATCATCTGTGGATGGATAAATTACAGGATCTTTTGTCAAACAAGAGTACAAAAGCCATAATGGATGTGTTGTTGTTTCTACTAACCTTGGCTATGTTTTGTTCTTTAGGGCACAGTGAGGTTTACAAGTGACACATCTTTCAAATGAGCTGAGTTAAGCCCAAACATGTAGAGACACTGCAGGGGAAGCTACCGAGCTCGTTTGAGGAAATACAAGTTTAACTAATATGTTTAAATCACATGGCATATGCACTAAAGCAAATTATAAGGGAAACTGTAGTAGGGTACATATTGTTACATCTGTCTGTAATAGACTGAACATTGCTAATTTTTTTTCCCTTATACTGTATATTAAGTGTTTATACTTGGGTACTTTTTTATGTTGGTTTATATTATTAAGCTGTATTAAGTTGTTGTTTTTCAGTTCTGGGTTAAGGGAAAAATGGAAATAAAAAATGGAAATAATGAAAAATCTTGTAAATGACACAGTAAATGACCTCAAAAAGGCCAACAAACAGTGAATATGAGTGAATATAATGTTCGCAGTAGTCACGCAGCGGCAGTGGCAGTGGCAGGTGGCAATGGTGTTGTGGTTTGATAAAGTCTGGGCCTCCTGTTCCCCTTCTGCTTACCCCCACCACACAGGATCTCCAGGGTGTGATAAGAAACACACTCTCCTTTCAGTGTAGTCCCAACAACAGTCGTTTAATGTTGTTTTGAAAACAGTGACGGTGCAGTTCACTCTACTGACAACGCTGATAACTAGTGTTGGAATTTGAACAATGAAAGAGGTTTTGACCTACATGTAAGGTGTGTGTTTGGATAACGATGTTCTTGTCACAGCTGGAGCATGTGATTTCCAAAGGTTTTGTAAAAGTGGATCTATGACATGTTTTGAGATATTGCATCAGTACATTGTCAGCAGATTTCTAGTTCAGTGACATGCTGTCAAGCCCGCAAACAGCAAATGCATGTTTTGGCTGCATTTATTCACTAAATATAACCCAAATATAAACTACTACTATTACTACTACTAATCCTAGAATCAATATTTTGAAAATACTGATGAGTGAAGTTTATGGACTACACATTTGAGTTCATACTAAAAAAAAGAATGGTAAAATACTTCAGGTGAATCAATCAGGTTAATTCATACTTGCCCATTTATAGGACTAGTTTTTTTTTGTATATTTACAATGCTGCAACAATAAATGACAAGTACAGTTAAGTAAAAATTTGTATTTTATTAATTTTTATTGCTTTTTGTAGAAACTGTAAAAGGCAATTTATTGAAAATATCTACGATTTCTGATGCAACCATCCACAAATAAGCAACTAGTGTAGTTGCTGTACATCAGAGCTAATGGCATTTTGACTGAACAATGAATTCAACAACAGTGAATCTGCAGAAAGTCGACATCAGTGCCACAACGAGTCACAGTTACCATAAAACTACTTTAACTTAGTACCTCTTATAAATACCTACATATAAATATTGTAAATGTTCTGTATAAATGAAGTAATTTGAAAATGCTGTACATGAATGTCCCTTTGAAATAAAAAAGAAAAAAGAAAGACAATCTTTGAAGGACAAGTATAAAGTATAAGGAAGTGAACTATACTATAGTGCCAGCTCTTCCATCGTGGGCACCACATTCCTGCTTTTTGTTGGCCATAGACTGATTATCCACATATCATCCATATTTTTGCTTCGCCTTGGGGTGTTTAATAAAACAGTTGTCTATGGCTAAAAAACAGTTGTCTTAAGGCTTCTTTACTTTGATGAAAATCAGCTTTTCTTGGACCTCAGTCAAAAAAAACACAGACTTTTCAGAGTGCATGTGCCACAGCTCCGGTCACACTGTGTGCTGGGGGCACTGAGAGCCAACAGTCAGTCCTGAAGCAGCACTGACTCCAGGTTGGTCATGTCCAAAACATGTCCTCTGATTGAGCGAAACAAGGATAGCATACACTTAGACAATGACAGATACAATAAGAAGAAACGACAAAAATAATTATTAATAATATAATAATGATAAAAGAGTGAAGTCAGCCTTTGGAAGCACTTTGAAGCAGTGACATACTCTATGTAAAAAGCTTCCCAAATTGAACCTGGAACAGTCCTCGTAACTCTCTGCCCTTGAAGCCATGAGCACATGGCCCATTTGGATCTAGTGCAAAAGTCCAACTGTTTGTATTTTTCCCTGAATCCGTGACAACCACAGAGCATCACTGCATCCGGTCCGGCTGGATGTGCTGCTGGGGAGCGTATAAGAAGGCTGTGGCGGGGCCGCTGGCCGAGGGCAGGTTGGGGTGGACGGTGGGCGGAGCCGTGGTGGCAGCCGCTGGACCAGCGGCTGTGGCTGTGGGGCTGGTGGCATAGCTGTAACCTAGGTAACCAGCAGCAGGAGAGGCAGCGTAGGGGTACTGCTGCTCGAAGGCAGCCTGGGCATACTGGGAGTATGCCGCGCTGTAGTCCAGGTAAGGGCTGGTGCTGACGGAGGTGGAGATCTGAGTGGGCAGCACCAGGCTGGGCTGCACAAAGGTCTGAGGATAGATGTACGGTGGAGCCAACCTGAGCGACAGAGCAAACAGAAGGTTACAAAGGGGGCACATCCAATGCCTCTGTATTCTATTGTTTACATAGAGCTCCCTAAGGCCCAGAGTGCAGACACTCTGAATGTACACAGTCCGCACATGTTCCTCTAAACTACATGACACACTAACACTGCTAGTAATGACATATGGGACTCTTCACTTTTAACTCAATATAAAACGTGCCCCTAACAACTTCAGTGCTTTGCTACCGATATCTTGTTTCAATGTAAACATTTTCTGCAGCATTCATACTTTAGAACCTAACTAGAGAAATAAAACAACTGAACTGAAGGCAAATGTATGACCAAGGTGACTCAGCCCGTATGTCGGTTAGGCAAACCCACCCAACCTGTTAGGTAGGGCCTCCTGGGATAAACGACGGGGTGCGGGTAGAAAGAGAGGGGGAGGAGGGGGGTGATAGTGTCAGCCGTTACTGGCAGGTTTTCAAACGCAGACATCCCGTATTTTAACAGCTGCTGCTCTTCACTGGCTTTCTCAAACACACACAATCTCACAGTTCGCTCTGTTAAAAAAGGAACTGTGCGGCGGACTATCACTGGAGCAGTTGTTAGCCGCAGGAGGTCAGAGTGGTGGCCTGGGAGCTCATCAGGGCTGGGCGGCGGGTCTCGCGGGTCACATGGAGCTGATTAGAACGACCGAGTCTGGGGACTGCTTTGTCTCTGCTTTTGGAGGCTATTTTTACTGAAGTGTGGCTGTCTGCTTTAGACTGTCTGATTGTAACATGTTCAGGCTGGTCACGCTCTACAAAAAGATTCATACAATTCAATTTTATGTTCAGGTTTTTGCTCCTGTATTTATAATTACACAGCTACGTTTGACACCATTGTTGTACTGCCTGAGCAAGCAGTTTGTAAAGAAATACATGGAAAAAAAAAAACACACACACACACACACACACACATACACAACTTAAATCCAAACTTCACGTCACTGACCATAGTGCAGCTCTTAGCACTGATACAGCTTTTCTCTAAACTGGACTTTATGTAAATTAACTGAAAGTTCATAAGAAAATCATATCAGTGAAAAGAGGCGGCTGAGTAAGATTGGGTGATATATACACAATGGGATCATGAATATCATTTACACTTTTGTTAAGGGTATTTAAAGGTGCACCATGTAACTTTTCTGGTGGGAAGTACACCACCTGCTTGTTATTGCTTTGCCTAGAACTTTTTGACAGTATGGCATTAAACTTATCCATCTTGCATTTATTATACAATTTTAATTATTTAATAGAGACAAGCAACAACATTTAGTAATAACACAATAGCAGCCAGATACAATGACTGCAATAATAAAAACAAGTTCTACTCAAATTTTCAGCTTTATCGATGTCATACTGATTGTGAATAATATTGATCATGATAATTTGTTTATTTTGGATAGCCCATTTTCGAGGGGATCCATGTTTAGAAGCAATCAAAGTTAGCAATCTGTGTATGTCCCTGTGATGCATTCTCCCTCCGCAGACAGAAAAGAGTGGAAGCTGGCTTTTAACATTTGTAAGTATTGAACACCAGAATACTGCAAGAGCTTTTTGATTAGTGTGGATTGTTTTGCCATATCACCCAGTCCTACCCGTGAGTCAGCAGCACAGCAAAAGCATGCATGGAAAAGGCTTGTCATCACACACAGCCCACCTTTTCCAATGCCCCCCGACCCCACACGCCTCGCTCCCCCCTGCCCGGCCTGGTCCATCACCCCCCCTCCCTCCCTCCCCCTGCCTTCTCCAACACACACCGGTTACCACTGCAAACCCCAAACCATGCCACAAAAGGGAGAAAGAGTCAGGACTGCAATCAGCACAGCCTCTTCACACCACAAACAAGGGAGAGATAGAGAGGCACTCCAGTCTGCCACAGCACACCACTGCACCTCACGGCACTCTCAAGCCCTCTGCACCTGGACACTGCTGCTGGACAAGAGGAGGAGGAGGAAGAGGAGGAGGCTAGAGTGTCTTCAGGACCTCACTGGAGCCACTGGGAGGTCATCTTTGCAAACACAGGATAAGAGCTGGGATTACCATCAGCAAAACTACACCTACTGTCACTCAAGCAGACAGGGGCAGCAGCCAAATCGGAATGACATGTTTGTAGATTTGAAATGAGGAATTATGGAGGAATTGGTAAAGCAGGGCCAAAAATTAAGGTTTAGAACAATGATTACGTTCTTAACCATCTATAGTGATTTCAGTTTCCAGGACAGTATTCCATCTTCATACTTTGTTACAGTGGTGAAAAAAATATATGTTTTGTTTTCTCTCTAACTGATAATTAATTTGAAAAAATAAAAATAAAAAAAATTTCCAACTCGTATCACTGTTTCACTAATGATACAAAAAGGGACTGTTTCACACAGGGATCTGGACGATTGAAAGAGGAAGGAGTCAGTGGCCTAAACACTACAGGAGGTTACAGTGGCAGTGGAGACATAGGCAAAATGAAGTCAACCCCCCACGCACGGATCCCATCTACACTGTGCCCTGACTGTGCCATTGAGCCCATACAAAGAGGCATTCAGTGTGACGCCAGCCTTCAGAGATGGACATACATTGATGCTGCTGGGCATATGCGCCTTCACTCACAATGTGTATAATGAGATGGCCTACTCTACACTTTAGCCTTGGGCAGTTCACTGTGCACTATTCAGATCAAATAGTCAAGTTTAGAGTAAGTGCAATAGAAAATGGAAGCCAGTGAATAATACAAAAAAATAAATAAATTAATGAATAAATCTAATAAAAAATAATTATAATTGTTGCCATTACATTTAGGTGATATGTTTTCTGGAAACAACAAACTACTCCATCTCAGTCACTGTAGTGTATACACAACACTGGATGGCATTAACAGATCAGATGGTACAGTTCTGGGATTATGTAAGAAGATATGACATGTGAATTTTTGTTAAATACTCTGTCACTTTGGACAATTATTTGAATACCTTTAAAATCACAGTTGTCTTTTTTATGCCCTTTACAGTAAAAGGGCAATGTCAAACTGTCATTTGGACCAGAGTCCCCATATCTAAGTCCCGGAGATGCAAAATGCCAGTCTGAGAGAAAAGTGGATGACGGGTGAAGCCAGCGGTCAGCTGCTTTTGTGCTGACCGTCTGTGCAGGATGACAGGATGCCACTGTGCATTAGAAACACTTAACACTCCACTATGTGGATCTAAAAAGAACTAATGACACCAGCCCACAGATACGACTCCCAGGTGTTACATGTTCCAAAGTGGTGACAAAATGGCCTTCATCTGGTGACTCCACTGGTGTGAAACAGAAGGACGAGAGTCACACCTAAAAACTTGTATGAGCCGTTTATCCCTTTGTTTGGAGCCATCTTTGAACGCAAGAAAGAAAAAAGGTGTTTGTTTGACACCTGTAGGTGTGTTTCCTAGGGAGCACCCCTGCCTCATTAAGCATTAGTCCCCCCAGATCCGCCTCCCCCCAAATCTGCTTTCAACCCCCCACTCCTCCTCAAAGGTGTCAGCTTTCTGTCTCCATGTCCTATAGTGACAGTCCTCCAATAGGACAAAATCAGGTAAAGCAAGTCTAAAGAAAATGTCTAAAGAACAAATTATTACATCATTAAAAAAGAAAACTAGAACTCTTTATAAAAAGTAATAAAATAAGAGCAGAAACATGGCATAATTTATGAGGACCATGCTCAATAGCTGTGTCAATAAAAATGCAAGATAAACAAAGATAATTGGAACAATAATGGCCCTTTCTCTCATGATCCACCTCATTTGTCAATAGAAAATGTCCAATAAAATAGATTTATGTCCATTATTAATACTATTCAAAAAAGTCTCCCAAATGAATCAGAGCCCACATGTGCAGTGTGCGGACACATGTGCTTGGACCAGTCCGCCTGCTGCAGCTCTGTCACGTCCTCTCGTGTACTCGAGCCATATGTTATCAAGGGCTCTGTCAGAGGCACAAAGAAATGCTACTTGTACGTCTCAGGGAGGTCTGCGCCTGTCACCCGCCTCTCGAGTCCAGCCGACAGGTGCTGTGTGCGTGGGCAGGCCTGTGTCTCTGGGGTGTGGGTCATGGGAGATTAAGAGGGTGTAAAAGGCGGTAATATGAGCCCACACCTGTCAGACACATGCTCAAAGCACCACTGTATTCCACATCTCAAAGGAGCTCTACTGCCAGCCGCTCACTGACACTACAGACCCAGCACAGACACCGGGGGACTATTCAGTGACTGGAACACGAATGGACATGTCCCCATTGAACCATCCTCGCACATAAGAGAGTCTTACTCTTTTACTGTACACTGGTGTATCCAGCTTTAAGGTTTAGTAACTCTCTTATCACCACAGCTCTCGTTTGGGCGGTTCTGGGATTTCCCAAAATTGTCCTGTGATCATTTCTATTAATAATTGACAAAAAGACTATTCCCAAAGACAAGTCGACAGAGAGTAAACATTTTGTGACTGCTACAGAGGACAAAATTAAATGTTTGGCTAATAATTTCTGCTTGGATCCAAGTAACTGCTTTATAACATGGAGAAGTAGTGTAATAATTTACGGGCCAAAGCGATTGCTGTCTGGACTTGTCCTTAAATGGGTCTGGCACTGACTGTATCAAATGTGAAAAGCCGTTTATTGTAGCAGCAGGGGGGCATGTGAGACCTGTAGAGGAGTCTTTAGCACACTTAAATACACTTTACTGTCAGTGGTCCGTGACTACAAGACGCTGCAGTATTGGTTTCCACAACACAGTCGTTTGGACGAAGGCTGCTCAGTGACAGAGCGGTTGGGGCAGGTGCATGAGGCGAGCGTGCCTGACAGAAGCTAACAAGTGAGTCTGACTTTCACCCCTGGAATCCTTCCCATTACCATAGATATGTGAACCATCTCCAGGCCCTACCGGCTCAAATATGCTAATGGAGTAGTGCTGGAGTTGCACACAGGCACAGAAACTGACATGTACTGTCCAAAGGCCCTGTTTGTCAGAGAAAACGCTTGTCCTCATGGCATCAGGGAAAAGAAAGAGGGAGAAAAAGGAGGAGGTGTAGCACTGGTGGAGCTCACTTACCCGTACGGCCTCTGGATGAGAGCGGGGTGAAGGGGCTGCACTCCGATGGATAAGCCTGGAAGACAGGAGGCAGTCTGTCAGACATTTGCATGTACAGAGGCGGACCACAGAACAATGCACAGAAGGGCAACAGAAAACAGGCCAAGTCTGTGTGGAGTCCAACAACAGTTTGAGGAGGCTGAACACGCACACCAACACACACACACTGACTGTACAACTGTGGACATGGGGACCACAATATCCTTTTACACAATGTCAAGAGGGGTTGGTATAATAAGGTTTAGCTTCAGCCTACACCCTGTCATAGACTCATTTCATTTTTTGATTTGATTGTAAATGTTATGCATACTGAATATATTCTATGGGCATTATTCCATAATTAATTTAATGTATGTAGACTTAAATTAACCAAAACAATAAATACATGACAAGTTAATGGAACATTGTCAACTATTGTAAATCTGCAGAAACTAACAGATTGATTCAAAAGGGAATAGCTATTACAAGTTGTCTGATTAGGGTCTTTCTGAAGAATATCATCTATATATCTATTTAAGTTCATATTAAAAAATAAAACAAAAACAGTTTCATTGGTACAGTGACACATTTAAGATTCATTGACATTTGATAAAATTGTAAGCTGCCAACACTGATTAAACACCATAGTTAGGTCTACTTATCATTTAGAAAACTTTAAGAATTTGGGCCAAGCTCTTACCGGGCTGCATGCTGCGAGGTTTGGCTCCCAGGTAGGCCAGGTTCACATTGGCTTTCCTTCCATCGATGATTGGGTTTGGGTCTTTACAGGCTCTTTCCGCTGCTGCACTTTCTGTCATTGTCACCTTCACACCCAGACAAAGAATTGGTTAATTAATAATAATTAAGATTAGGGATGCAGTGATCCAGCTTTTTCAGTTCTAATATCAATTTCGATACCATAGACACAAAGTATCTGTTGATACCTGATACCAACCGATGCCAGTGCAGAGACTAAAAACATTTACAATAAAATATGCAGAAAATGTATTATATATTCTGTAGTTGTTTCAGAGATATGTATACTTATGTAGTTGTTACTTAATAAATAGTCTTATTAGATCAATTTATATATCCAACAAGAATATTTGGTGGCTCGATATTTGGACCAATATCTGACCCAGCTATTTTTCCAGCATCAGCATCACAAATTAAGATCCTACGTTCATGTGAATAATCACAAAATATTACAGTCTCTATTTCTGTTGATGCAATGATTAAAAAGCCAAACAACATAATGAGATTTCCAAAATGAAGGACAGGCTGCCACTGGGCAAAGTTGCTGAAATATGGATCTGAGAAGAGCTTATCCAATTAGGAGTAAATATTAAGGGGATTGCCATCACAACACCCCTCCTCTCTCCCTCCTGGCATTAGACTGTTTAGTCTGTTTTGTCTGGTTCTGCCAACTCAGAGGGTTCAGAGTCAGAGTCACCTCTGTAAGTTACTCCTGCAGTACAGCAGCAACTGACAATGACCAAGGAGTGTAAAGTCAGGAGCAGGTTTATGCCATATCCATCTTATTCAGAAAAACTAGAAATGTTGAATGTTGAACTCAAAAAAAGAATGTGATTATCTAACAAATGACACTTTTGATCCTGATTAATGTAAACAATTGAACACCAATTATAACAACTGACCCTGTCCCCAGGGTTAACGCCACAATTTTCACATTAACTGATGCCAGAAAATGTCATCATTGATCATCCCACTTAAACTTTCATTAAAAACATCTTTACACCTGTGAATATGATACAAGACTACTTAAAATACTTTGCATTTTTTTTTCCTGGTAGAAAATGTTTAATGCCATACTGTGAAAAATTGTACATAAAACAACTCCATGGAGATGCTGTTCCCTCCCTTCACCAGAAAAGTTACATTGTGTCCCTTCAAAGAGAACATTCAAAAACAGTCTTCTTGACAGTGCTGGCCTGTGAGCTCGTGTTTACTCAGAGAGGTGCACTGCTGTGGGGGGTGGGGGGTTGCTAATCCATCTCTGAAGTACATTTTTAAAAAGCACCTCTGCTGTTTCTTTGACTTCAGCAGGTTACCACATGGAGGCTTGTGTTCACCCCATGGCATCACCCACAGAGCAGTGCGAGCCTGTTAAACCTGTAACACTAACCGAGCGTTATAGAGTTTATGTGTCAACAGGCAATTGCCTTAAAGTCTTGCTGTTACGAGAAAACATGCACATTTTCCATTCCTTCTTTGGTTTGACAGGACATTGTGACTGCCTTTCCAAACTTCTGGTAAATATTTGCATTTCTGTAGTTCCTTCTGTTCTTTGTGTGAATGAAATAGGTCTTTATCTCCCATTACGGGCAATGATCGAGCATCTGGAGGTTAGGGACAGGTTGTAGTAATCCAGCTGTAGTGTGGATAAGCAAGGGTCACTGCACAAATAAAAAACGGCAACCAAACATTTCCAAAAACTACCACAATAGAAGTAAATGCTGTCATAATTTGTTGAATATTTTCCGCGTTGATATCAAAGGAAGTTCATAAAGACTCATTGTTGGTGGGAATTTCTTTCAAACCAGCCAAGTTCTTGTAAATCTTGCACTTCATACAAACAACTTCTGCAGTCCTTGACAATGGAGAGCAGAGTGTACAAGGTCACCCTCCCAACTCCTACAAAGTAACCATATAAAGCAAGCACGCAGGCACTTATCCGGACGAGCTATAAGCCAGGGGCGATAGAGGGGTTAAAAAGGGGGGCATGGGACATATGTGGAAATATAATCGTCTTAGTTACCCATCAACTCGTGAGATCCTTCATCCCCATTAGATTAAACAAAAAAGCAGTCAGTCAGGCGAAAAAGGGGGACCTGGGATGCTCTACAATGAATTAACATGCCCCAGTGGGTAACCATAGGCATCTTGTTGAACAATAGGTGTACATGTACAAGGAGAAGACCACAAAAGAAAACTCGAGGGTTTTCAGACACGCTTAGGGGTTGTTCATTTTGGCGCTGACAGAATTAGACACATGATGACACAGCAAACTAAAAAAGGAGGCCAACTTTACTTACAAATCCATATCCTCTCGATTTGCCCGTCTGTCTGTCGGTTATAACGACCGCCTCGTCAATCTCTCCAAATGCTTCGAAGTATTTTCTGAGGGAAGCGTCGTTCGTGTGGTACGGCAGTCCACCGACGAAGATTTTGGTCAAACGCGTGTCTTTGTGGAGCGGTGTGGGAGGCATGACTTCCAGGGCTCCGTTCATGTACTGATGCAGAAGCATTGGTCCGCCGTTCACAACACCACAGCACACGCGCCGCACAAACACTCAAACAAGTGCGCGATAACGTCAATAACGTCCCAACATCAGAAAGGACCTGTACGGCAGCTTTGTTTCACCTTGTGCCGTAAGATTATGGAGTGCAGCTCACACCCGTGTCTACTACGGAGTTTAGAAGTCTTTGGATTACACGATAACCCCCCGGCCGCTTGTTCGCTGTTGTCACGCTGAAATGTGCCGGGGATGTTTTATCTGCTGGAGCTGTGGCCCCGCCCACACAAAACTCTTGACCAATCCGGACACCGCCACAGCCTCTGGCCCCGCCCTCCTCAGTCACACTGTCCATGTCCAACTGCACCTGCTTTTGTCCTTTAGTTTAGTCCAAGCACAAAGGAGACTATGATGAAGGGTAAAGAGCCCGACACTGCCACACAGGCCTTTGTACTATATTAATGATGACCATTGTATGGGTTTGAAGATTAGATTACCTTAATATAAGCAACAGCTTATTGACCTGTACATTTCACTATTCATAGGTCCAGGACAGTCTATGGTCCGGACAGGCCATTGTTTGAGTGAACACAAACCATAAGTTGAGCCAATTTAAATAAACAATTTAGTTAAAACCAACAAGCATGATTTCAATTAGCTCTATAGTATTATGACTCATTTGTGGGTACCCTGGAAATGAATGGACCAGTATCAAAAGTCAGTGCCTTTAAAATGCCTGAAAGACAGTTTGCTCTAAGTTTAAGCACTATGGAAAGCAGAGGTATTTCCCCACAAATATGGGTACTTTCTGGCAAGTGGACTTGCATGTGAACACATAAAGGCCTATGTTCCATTTCAAAATAAGAATCTTGAAGTGATACAAACGTTATTAGTTACTGCATCTTAACCCCCAATGCCTGGTCTCTCATTACCAAGTATCAGGGACGAGTTTAACGGTGAGGTGACACTCTAATGACCTCAATAAAAGGCATTTAATTCACACGTCTTCTTCATGAACTGCTTCACTTTTCACACATGAAGCCTTTGTAGCGGCCCTCTGCACCTCATTCATATCCTGCTGATGAATTCTCAGTTCCCACCTTTTTTGTCCAATATATGCCAACCCAGGAAGAGAATTCAGCTTTGATCTTATTTGACCCCTTAAACGGCATTGCCCGGCGTTTCCTACGCTTTATACATAATTCGTAGAGCTCCACCTGCTGGCCAGTAAAAAAAACAAAACAAAAACTCAATCAAACTTGTTCAACATACTTTTTGGGCTTACAGTGAATGCACTTATTTATTTGACATCCAGATCCATTTAAGAGCTAAATCATAAACAGCCTATGATAAGAAAAGTCTTTGGATAACAGTAAAAAATAAGATGACCACAAAATATAATGCAGAAACATTGACATGAGCAACAGTATCTCCCCCTTTTGTGATGACCAGAGACAAACTGTTACACATCTGTTATCAACACCAAGCAGGGTAGCGCCCTTTGATTGGTCCATGCACTGTACCCAGCACCCCAGCATTGGTCCGTGCATTTGCTGAATGGAAGGAGTGTGTCTGGGGCGTATACAAACAATAAAGCAGCAGGTCTTCCGCAATTCTTCACAAGAGATGTGACTTGGCACGACGAATCTAAAGACAGGAGCAAGCAGTCAGTCACAAGAATTGTTTTTACATTTTAGATTTATTTCAAATCATATGTGCACAGAAGAAAAAAAAAAGGAAAAAAAAATCTAAGCACAAGTATATTGTCACTATTATAAATTATAGCCTATTTGCCATTAGAAGAAATAAATAATATTGTAAGATGGTAATTGTTTATAGCTTGCTTTACAAGTTTTAATCTAGAATTTCCATAAATATTATGAAATAAATAAATAAATAAAACAATGTAAAATGTTCTTTTTAAAAGGTATGAACAACATTTCAAAAATAAAATCACACCAATGTTTATTAAGGCAAGATCATTATACGTCTGTATAAATCTATTGCAATGATTAAAGTGCCTACTGACATAATTGTGTACTTAAGTCAGTCAGAGGCACATTCTGCAGTTTCACACCCAAAAACTAAACTAAATTGTATCAATTCCACCCTAGTGTAGCATTCACAGCAAAACGACTAACCTAAATAGCAGCGCTAAAATCTGATTCAAGTCACTATTCTGTCTTGCCACATGTGTGCCAGGAGCACCACATGAGGCTCAGCATGAGTCTCAGGACTTTGAGGAAGTAGGGCAGCCTCTTCCAGTGACCTCTGTCTCCAGGTTTAGGAAGTGTGGCTGCCCTTCTCTCACCATTTCTTGTTTCGAGGTTTCAACTCCTCAGCAGCATTCCTTAAGAAGATATAGTTCTTCTTTTGAGGGTTGTAGTACTCATGGCCCTAGAACAATTAGGTGCCATTAGAACAGGGTGTAGAGGTTTAAAAGATTATTAATAAAGAAGTCACATTCAGGCACAAGCTTTCTTTTTCTCTCAGGTGTACTATTCTAAGAATGAAAAAAAGAAGTTTTTGTTGCTTATATGAATTCTTTCCAATCTGATCTTAAAAGGTCCAATATTACGTGTTAAACAGGCAGGCTTACTTGTTCAAGTTAGCCTTGAAATTCCCTGTAGTATAACTTAGAATAATGTGGCCTCCAGGGCTTTGGTGTCCTGAAATGTGTGTATACTTGCACAGTGATAATAGAAGCCATTTGTATCAAGTCATAAACAATGGCAGCTTGCAGTATTAATGCTTAACTGCTAAAGTGAGGCTAATTTTAGTACTGGTGAAGGGTATCTGGGGCCTTATGGATTACAATGTGATGATTTAGAACAGAAATGACTGAAATGTACGTGACTGATACAAAACAACTCTATCTTTTTACATTAGGATAGATTGTAGCTTGTTTAAAAACCTATAACAGTTTTATTGTTTAATAATTTTATTGTTACTACGACTACGATTACTACTACTAAAGATAATAATAATAATGATGCCTTAGACTTGTAATGAATTAGCTCCAATGGCTCTTAAAATCCTGTAGAAAGCTCTAGACTGTAGTCATTATTCATTCTGTTTACACTCTAAGGTATTTCTGTATCTACAGCTGCCCGGGCTAGAGTACCGGTGACGGACGCCAGGCTGCCAGTGTGCACCATCGGCATTTCCTACCATCACCAATAACCCGAATGTGAAACGTGGGGGTGCACCCGTGTCTACTTTGGTGAAGAACTTAAGAGTGGAACTCGATTCTGCAACATTTGGGGTGGTGAATGATTGCTCTAATCACTGTCGCCTTAAATGTAGCATTAGCTAGCATTTAGAAATAAGATTCTGTGCTGTGTTTAATCCTGTTTTTTTATGTACAAATTTCTCATTCTCTGTGGCACTTGTATGGCTAACAACTATTAATTTCCCGAATATAAAGCACATCTTAAACGGCAATTAATATATTTGAATCCTGTACCTTGGACCAGTCATAACTGGAGGCATATGCAAAGATGTTCCCATTGTGGTTAAAGCAGCATGCAGTGATGGGCTGGTCAAGCTGCTCTGATGTCTTCAACTTTGTGCGAGCGTCTTTGTCCCAGAAACTGAAGCGTCCATCTGAACCCACAGTGGCCAGAGTGCCGTGCACAGGGTGGAAGGAGATGGCATTAACCTGCACAAGCAAATTAATATGTACAAGATGCTGTGGATACAAACATATCACATCCATTTTGAGAAAACATACAGCGTAAATATCTTGTGGAGTGGTTGTATTGGTCCCATTGGACCGATGGCACTTGAAAGTAAAGTTGTCTTTAGCTCTAAAAGAGAAAATACAAAATAATATTATGCTGCGCATTTCAAATAAAATATTTTTGGTAACTTTGTAAACACAGAAAACATTGATATTCAATAAGAAATTTAAAGCTTACGGGTTTGGAGGGTTAATGTAGTGAATGGCCACTCTTCCTTCAATACTTCCTAGAGCAAATCCTGTTGGCTTGTTCTGCTTGTCTTTAAAAATGGCCACACAGCGATGCTAGAAGGAAACACAGCCACTGGTATTTCATTTCAACCATTTTCCAGGCAAGTGTTCTTTTAAAACTCAGGGAAAATCAGTGCTGTGTGAAGGCAATAGCTTTGGTAGGTCCTGTTACATTGTGGGTGTATAGTTGTCTTGCATTAACACATCGTTCACAAACATAAATTATAATTTCTTTTAATTTCAATGTCATCAGTTCAAAATTTGGGCTGCTCTCTGTCCTCCAACGCACCCATCTCAAGTAACTGATGTGCAAAGTTCTCATTCTTTTATATCAAAATTTTAAAAGAAAATAATGTGTGTTAGTAGTACCTGATGTTTAAGAGGAGAATCAATGCGACGAAACTCAGACGGCTGGTTCTCCAGATGGTAGACAATGAGGCCTCTTTCAGCTGTAGCCACCACTGCCATGGGATACACCTAAAGCAAAGGAAAAGCAGTTTAAAAACAAAACTTGTTTTGTTGTTTCTTAATGATTGCATGTGACTTGTGGTTACACTAACAGTCAAGAATTTGGACATACCTTATCATACAATTATGATTATTTAATTATGTTTACACTGTAGATACAATACTAGAGAATTTAAATATGATGCAAGATGAATCACGAATTATGTAAGAAAAAAAAAAAAAAAGGAAAATAACCAAAATATATTTTTTATAGATTCAAATTCCTGTTTGCTTTGTTGACAGTGCTTAAATTCTAATTGTCTTGGTCCCAAAATCTGTCAAACTCTTGTCCCAGTCTACATGCAGGTGCAAGAAGACCACGTCTTCTTTAGAAGCTAATGTTGAGCTTGGTCTAAAGTAGAACATTTATATGTTAAAGACCTGTTATAGTAAAAGGCCCTTTATCCAGTATTATGTATGTATGTACTTTAACATAAATTATAATACCATGATTCCCACATTTTTACTGGATCTACTGGTTGATTTTTACAACTCATTTTGTTTGAACTTTTATTTAAAATTGTATCTGTGCCACAGTTCTTTAAGAATACAAAATCTGTTCTGATTTTAAGGAAATATCTAGTTCAAATTTCTTTTCTGGTATTGCTTGATATCAGCCAATAATTGAAGATACTTTATCAGTTCAAATAATATGTTAATAATTGCATTACTCCAAAATGTGGAATTCAAATACATAAAATACTTACAACATCTGCACAGTAACATCTCTCTGGCATCTGCAATGACATCATGGGATTGGGGGAACGTGTGTCCCAGAACTGAAGAGAAAAAGATAATAGCTGGTCAATTTTATATTGATGTTCAATGTTAGAAGAAAGTCTGCAAATGTACCTTCAGTGTTTTGTCCCAACTGCCAGTCATTACACAACTATAGTTGGGAGCTTTAATCCAGTGAATAGCTTTGATGGGACCATCATGCTGTAAGCACACAAAAGGTAACAAGTTACAAAAATATTCTTTATTTCTTATGATCAGTCTTATGCTCCTACTGAACCTGTGCAATCTGCATGGCTTGATTGCTGTTAAGATCCCACATTTTGGCTGTCTTATCACATGAGGCTGTAAATACTTTACTACCATCCTTCATTCAACAAAAACAAAACAGAAAAAAAAGAAAGCATATTATTATTAATAGTATAATTTATCAACAGGTATAAGCAGCACAGTTACTACACTACAATACTCACATCACTCCAACAGGCATCCAGCACAGGTCCTGTGTGCATCTGTTGGGCTTTAGGGACTGTTTGGCCATTGTCCTGTACCTCCCAGCAGCGGACCTGAGAATTTTTATTTTTTTTAATCAGATAAAAAGTATTAAGCTTTCTCATTCTCAAGCATTTGATATGATTAAGAATTTCTTTTGTAAAAGTTTGATTGGCATATGTATTTTAATCCAGCAAGACAAATATTCTACAATTGTATAAGAGGACTAAAAGACTCACATCATTAGCCCAAGATCCTCCAATAAGGAAGTTCCCAGGCAAAGTAGGAGGACTAAAGGCCAGGCAACTGATGCTGTCATCAGGAGGAGAAGACACTTCTACATCCTGTAACAAAGTTTAAAAATACATGCTTGGAAAAGCAATTACAAGTACATAAAAGTAAAAAGTAAAAGTAGTAAGATAACGTTCCATTGTACCATGCTTTTATTTTGATAACTGAAGGAGAAACTTTAGTGATACATTAGCAGTTTTATAACAAATTAAACCGACCGATGGTACTACCTTCATAGGGTTGTGACTGTCTGTCGTTGTGCTGCCAAAGACCCCTGTCCCCCCGGTTCCAAAGCCGGTGTTTGTCCCAAATAAACTCATGGTGCATCAACAGTTCCTCACGCGTGCCTGTAAAGCAAGTAAGTCATCACGAAATATGAACATATCGATTTACATGAATATTTTAGTTTACAGCCGTTGATGCTAATTCAGCTTAGAAAGGAACTTAAGCTAAATCTTAACTGAATTTAAAATATTCCTACTCATAATCAACTATTTAAAAAACAAAAACATATATGCGAAAATATGACAAAGGCCCCAAGTACACCATAGCCAGTGCTCATTTGGCGGCTTTAGTGTGAAATAACATTTCAGCTAATGCTAAATATGTCAGTGATAGCCTCTCAGTAAACGGTACAATTGCTAAACAATATGTACATAAACAAATAAACATAATCCTCTTCAACAAATACATACCACTAAATCAAAACCATGAGGAAATATAAAATATGCTTAAAAATGCCCAGAAAATGTTTTGACGAAGCAAAATGTGGCGCTTGTTCTTCGAGGTGTCGCAGATGGATGACGTAGGCAGTAGAGTTCAAAACTCGCCACTGGGGGCAGTGCAGGAAAGAGAGTGAACGTCTTTTCTTTCTATTTCTTGAAGAGCTTCATAAGCAAATTAAACACTCTTCTCTTTCACGAAAATAGGGCGCGTTGATGTTGATTTTAATGTTATGCGTGTTTTAGGTTAATGTCATGTGAAAGCAGTTGGTGAAATATGTAGAACAGGTGATGGTGTACTTCTAACTGGAGCTTTCTTTCATTTGTGAGGATGTAATCTCTTTTTGGGTCAGTGGATCGATCGGAAAACCAGGCTCAAGGCAGTGAGGGATTTATCAGTAAAGTGTATATGGTAAATTACTCAGTTTAGCATATACAGTCAATGCTTGTAACAGGTCTGCTACACAAACAATAGGCTACTTCGTGTCTTTTGTCATGCATTCCCCTATCTCCGTGTCTAATTTGAAATTAAAATAGTGGTGAAGCTTCAGGTTTTGAATGGTGTTTGAATGGGATGCCCTGGCCTGCCACAATAAATTCTGTTGATCATTGTGGGGCATGCATAATAGGCATGCACAGTTAGTAATGCTGTAGACAAATAGATAAATAAGGTTTTAGTCAGCACATACAATGGGCAGGTAAAAGCAACTCGGGTTCCTTGCAGGTTTTGCTAAGTGTAGCGATCAATAGTAGGTCTACGTGAATGGTCATAAATGTGTCTCTTGAATTTCAGGTGATAAATTCCAAATTTCATATTTCTTCAGGCCTGTTGTAATCATTTTTGCCTAAGCGTATAAGATGATTGTAAAGTGTGCACATGGTCAAATGCACATAAGTGCACTGAATAGCGTGATCATATCTCTTGTATTTTAGTGGTGATGGCAAAAAATGCAAAAACACACCCTCTGAATTAAGCCGTCCGTCCAATGCTACATCATCTTCAATACTGGAGGGAGTTCTGAATCAGTCCTTATAATTGCATTTCAGTAATGTTGTCCAGCCGCTGAACATTTAACACTGTGTTTTATTCCAGTTTAAACTGGCTGCTAAGAAAGATGGGGTGGGAGCGAGAGCGAACTAGAGTATATTTGGCATTGATTGTAAGAGTTAAACATGACATAAACTAACGTACTGTATTTCTAAATGAGTTAATACGTGAAAGCCTTTTCTATAGTCTACATTTTTTACTGCAACTTTAGGTGGGCACGGCGACCAGAGCGGGACACATATGCAAAACAAACACTTATTCCACACCCAGTTCTCACATTATCAACACAAAGTCCCCTCCTCATGATTGGACACTGATCCGTTTAATTGACTCAGCCTGGACCTGTCCTTGCGCCCCTCCCACCCCCATCCTCTGTCAAAACCCTCAATAAAAATGCAGCCGTTCAGTGGAGCGACGATAACAGCAGGCATCCAGTACCGCGCTCTGAGGAAACGTACACGGGTCATTTTCGAGTAGTGTATTTTATGTAGGTAATGTTGTTATAGAACACGCGCTACAAGGCAAAAACTTAAACAACTTAGGTCCGTGCGTAAAGTTGGTGCCGAAATGGTGTCAAACGCTTATGCCGTGGCCCTCTGCGTCTTCTCTTGGCTCCACTGTGCGTCTTCCTCCTATGTAGGTTTCTCCAACTTTTCATTGGACAACGAAGTGCACTCCAGCTTCATCCAGAGGAGGCTACGGAGCCAGGAGCGCCGAGAGATCCAGCGGGAGATCCTTTCCATCCTGGGTTTACCTCACCGCCCTCGACCCCTTGTCCACACCAAACAAAACGCAGCGCCCATGTTCATGTTGGATCTCTATAATACCATCTCCACGGACCTCCACGCGACCAGACTCGATTACAATAAACCTGCAGCGACCCTGGCTCCCCCAGCGCTCTCTCTACAAGATAGCCACTTTCTGGATGAGGCAGACACAGTTATGAGTTTTGTCAATACGGGTGAGTTCAATGTCTGTGTGATGTGCAAACATTTGGTGACAGAAACCGTAAAAACAGTGAAACAACGTTTTGTAAAGCATATTTGAGGTCATTATTTCTAAAAAGAAAAAAAAAAAAAAATCTTAGATTAAAATGAATCAATCAAGGTATTTTTGTACTTTATCAATTCAAAAACAAAACTTTATCAGGCAAAATTATAATAACTGGAGGCCATATGATGATCTGGTTTGGTTATGAATAATGGTGTGATTTTTCTTTTCCCAGACTGTTTACATTAATCAAATTATTTGAGTCATTGCCATAAAACTTTCTGTTTTGAACATACATAAGGGAAACATATAGGTATAGCTGAGGCCTACAGCAAATAGCAAATCTATGTGTAAAGTTTTGATTAAACTTTTTAAAATAAGCTATTCTATTGGTACTGCTTTCTAAGAATAAAGAGATGGTTGATAGAATTTTTGTCCTTGTGTAATCCCATCAGCAATCTTATCTGTGATCAACTGCTTGCAGTGCTCATCCCTGGTGGTTCCCTCACTTTCCCTTTAATCAGCCTGTTGACAATACATCAGTAAATTTGCCCACGTGTTTCTCTAATCAAGGGCATATTTGACTATTGATGATACTATTTATTTAGATAACACTTAACCAAAATGTTCCTTGTGTGCAGATGCATAGCAACTACAGCTATGCTGTATTTTGAAATTTGGTGTATTCAGGCTTTTTGTTATGTTATACATTTTCCATCTTCTCTGGTTAAAAACAGACTACAACATGTTGTATCTTAAAGATTTTAATAATTAAAGCATAATTAATTTCTAGTGAAACTTTTTCATGTGAGTAGTAGAGTGATGCCACCCTCCTGTTCCACTTCAGCATAGCGGATGCTGGTTGTGTGGCCTGGTTGTCTCAGGAGCAATGTGAAGTGTTGAAACGCCTCCCACAGGGAAGTTTGCATATCTGAGGTCTGATCAGTGCAGCTAATGGTCCCTAACATAAACAAGCCGAGTCCTTACAAGCAATTATAGTGTTCATAAAAACACTCCTGGTTCCATTCCCGGCTTTAATTGCGGTCAAACAAATGACTGGCAAGGTTCAGAATGTGGAACTCCTAACGATAGTGTGTTTTTGGTTTGGAGATGTTTTTAGAAGACTTACTCCAGAGTGGGTGCTGGAAAGTGACTGTATATAAAACAATAGTAAGCTGTCAGAAAGGGTGAAAGGTGATGTCATGGTGATGTCATTGTGGGTGCCAGCAGAGAAATAATCATTCAAGGGTGAACTCAAAATCGTAGGAAGTTCTCTTAAAATGTTAGACCAGAGGTGGTTCTATTTTTTAATTGGCACACTTTGGCAGAATTTCTTTTCGTCTTTCCTCTTTTCTCATTCAGCGTTATTTTTTATCCCAAATTATGATCCCTGAAAGTCCCAAAGTAGGTTTGTATAATCCCGTGTACCACATGTAAATAAAGCAGGTTGGATATATTGACAGGTTTGCTCCACAGCAAATCATTTATCTTTGCCTAGCTCATGCTATTAAGCAATTATGCATATACATTTTAGGATTTGACCAATAACATGTAAAGAAGATACAAATTTAGACCACAGTATCTTGATACTTTTATAGCTCTGATAGCCAATTTCGGTAGTGAGTGTATTGCAACTGCTGCTTCACTTTACTGTCAATGCCCTGAAGCAATGATCCTGGCAAAGTGATTACAGAGGTGTGGGTGGCACCACTATAGTTAAGTCACACATGCATTTGTGAGATCGTCTATATGTTCTATGAGTCTGTTTATAAAAGTACACTGGCTGCTGTGGTTTTCCGGCCTGTGCCTTAACAGGCCTTTTCTTGTGGTCAGCACATGTGTGTAATTTAAACAGGGAACCAAACGGAGCCAGGAGCGGGTTTCCTCTCTCCCACACTGGCATGAACGTACGCCCGAATATGCTTAAGTAATGTTTAGTTCAATCAAAGTTTTCTCTTTTCTTGGCCACATTGCTTCCGAGTTGTGGCACAGATCATGAAGGCAACATCTGATTGTACTCACTGCAAACTTTGGGGTGAACAAACATAACTAATTACTAAACATTTGTCTTTGCCATCATCATGATGAGATCTAATCAAGTGTCCACTTTGTTTCTCATTGCAGTAGAACACAACGATCGTCACTACCAGCAGCAGCTTCAGAGAGAGTTCAAATTTGACTTGTCCCGAATTCCAGAGGGAGAAGCCATCACCGCTGCAGAATTCCGAGTCTATAAGGATTTTATTCATGAACAACATGAAAATGAAACTTTCATTGTTAGCATCTACCAAGTCCTGCCCAAGTTAACAAACAGGTGCATATTACATTCTCACCACTTCACATGAAAGGTCATAGTTGTACACTATCATATATAGATCCTTAACACACTGCGCTGGTATAATTTTATATCGGCCTAAATATTATCGCAGCTAGAGAAGCAGAATCTTTTGGCCTGGGGTGGGGTACACAATACCTTGGCAAAACAACAAAATAAGCTGAAATATTTTTTTCACAACTGCTTCAAAAAGTAGCATCATTATTCAACCCCTAAAACGTGATAGCTGTCAGGTGAAATGACTTTAAGGGCTTTTGTTACAGTTTGTGTGGAGCCAATCTGCAACAAATAAAAATAAGGCTCAACATTTGTGGATCTTTGAACATTTCTTTCAAAAACAGAAAATGTCATCTGCGATTATGAATCATGGCATGCTTAATGACATACTGCAATAATCCATAAAGATTAATTGCACATTACTAGTTCAATGCTTCAACCAGTTTAATGCTAAGTACCGATGGCTATTCACAGTATTTTAAATGGAGAGCAGGGTGTAAAAAATGGTCTATTATCATTCATAGACAGGACAGTAACAGCCTTTCATACTTTTAAGACATATTCAAACACTGCTAAATGGCCCAGATACTAAAATTTCATGAATTTAAAACTAAATAAAAGACAAACTTCCCTCATGACCACAGTGTTGCCATTATGGGACCACACAGATAATGGACATATTATTTTGGATTGTTTATTAAACTATATTTTAAGTCACATGACACTTCCCAAACATGCCACACACATTCATATGTTTTTATACCTTTCATTTTGCAAGAATGAAAATAATTGCTTCAAAATGGTTAAATATTTTTTATGTTTTGACAAAGGGGGGAGCAGAAAGTGGGGTGTCAGGTGACCACTTGTAGCTGACATGAATCTCCTGAGTTATTTAAAACTTTGCTAGTTCAGTGTGAGTGTTGGTTGTGATAATTGTTGTAATTCTCATTTTCCACAGCCAGAGAGAGCTATTGCTGCTGGAGCAGAGAGAGATATGGGCCAATGAAGATGGATGGATGGTTTTTGACCTAACAGCCTCCAGTAACCTGTGGCTACTCAATCCTGAACACAACCTGGGACTTCACCTGGTCTTGGAGGACAGCCACGGTCAGTAGGGGCAATTGTGAAGTACTAATACAAATGACTTAGACATAGACAAACTATTGATTCACAAGGGGAATTATTTGGGCAAAGTAGCTCACATAATACAGTATATTATAATAACAAAGAGTATAGATATAAATGGGAATAATAAATTCAATTTAAGTAGCAAAAATAGCAAGAGATTGGTATCAAATAAGGCATAATTATTTAAATGTATATGTGCAAGTAAAAATAAAAATATAGAACTGTAGTAATACCAAATATATCTCAGCTACAATACAAGAGGTGGTTGTGATTGACATGACATAGGATTATCTATTACATAAGGGTGAGTTGTTGTACAGTTGTCTTAACAGACAGCAAAAAAAATTAAAAGTGTTTCTGAATCCCAGCAACTCATTATACGTATCCTGTGGAGTCTAGTTGTTAGGATTGATACCTTTATTGATAAATGGATACACACATTTTAGTACATTTATGTGTACAGAAAAGTCTACTCATATGGTATGATTTTTTTCATTCATGTCAGTTTACATATTTTTCCTTCATTACAAGGTCTCCAGGCCATAAAATAACAAATGAATGCAGCAACAATAAAAAACACACATGTTCTTTGAATGGGTCAAGAGGTTTTTCTCGCTCTAATTTTCAATAGTGGTGACTGCGGTCATATTAGGAAGGATGAAAATATGCTCCAGACTTGTTTGTTGTAAGGCCCCTGTGGTCAGTGGAGATTCCTGTCTCACGCCACACTCTGTTCTGATGCAGGCCACAGAAGAAGCCCGGGGCGGGCAGGGCTGGTGACTGGTGGTGGGTCCCAGGACAAACAGCCCTTCATGGTTGCATTCTTCAAAGCCAACGAAGTGCGCCTGCGAAATGTCAGGTCAGCCCACAGGGGGCGCCACTCTCACCGCAACAAAGCACAGAGGACAGTCCAGGACGCTCTGAAGGCAGTGGAGGCCGCAACAGGTGAGTTTTGAGAATAGTTTACCTTCAAATGTTCAAGAAACAATGATCCATAAAAGAGTAGTCACAATAATGTGAGTTCATTTCCAGAGGTTTCTGACTCACATGAGTGACTAAATGAAACTAAACTGAATAGTCATTGTTCACATGTACCTTGCCTCGTGTGCATTGTGACAGTGTTGTTAAAATGTTCTTGTTTCAGAAACACTTGGCTTCTCTAAAAATGGATGTCAGAAACATGAGTTGTATGTCAGCTTCCGAGATCTGGGATGGCAGGTACGGGATTTTTAGGACGCAATTTTTAATTGATAATTTCTTTACTTCTAATCAAATTATCTAATCAAATTTCTTATCAAATTATTTGTGTGGGTCAGGATTGGATCATTGCTCCAGAGGGCTATGCAGCATATTACTGTGATGGGGAATGCGCGTTCCCTCTCAACTCCTACATGAATGCTACAAATCACGCTATTGTACAAACTTTGGTAAGTCATCAGAATCATAGGAATATCATCTTTTTCCTCTGTTCATCAATTTAACACAGGAACTACAATTAAGCCATACTAATTTAAGGTTTTAATTGTCTAACCCTAGGTACACTTCATAAACCCTGGGACTGTACCCAAGCCTTGCTGTGCACCCACCCAACTGCACGGCATCTCAGTGCTCTACTTTGACGACAGCTCAAATGTCATCCTCAAGAAGTATCGCAACATGGTGGTTCGGGCGTGTGGCTGCCACTGACCCCAGTAAAGATTCATTGCAAGACATGAGCAAAGCGAAGAACTAGTTTTTATCTAGCAGGTTTTAGTTTGAGGCCAGAGAAACACTGTTCTTTTCTCATGAATATGTACATTAAAAAGACTAAAGACTTCTATAAAAAAATGATAATCCATGCACTAAATGATAATGTGTGGGAATAGAGCGACAGAGCAAATATACAGTATATTACTGTAACTGTACAGGGGTCTGTTCAGCCATGTGGGCTGAACATAGACATGTTTAATAAAACTACTTTTTCTAATTATATTTTGCATATTTTTTCCAAACATTATTTTTTGGGTGTTTTGCCACTTCATTAAAGTTTTTTAAAATTGTGTGATTGAAGATAAGTGTGTTTGGCGGGCTTGAACACGAGAATAATGGAAAAAGCTTCATAACCTGAGGGGATTGCTTTATTATCTCTAAGTCTGGGATGATCAGCACAAGAGGTTCAGGCATTAATGCATACAAAGTAAAGCTCTCTCAATCAATAGATGTTTACAAGGCCATTCACTCTGGTATCTCTTAGAATAGACATCAGTTAGTGCTTCAAAATCAAAGTCTGATTGCAAGCAGGATAATTTTCACCTCCAAATACATTTGCCCCTTTTGTACACCCCGTTCGTGGAAAAAAAAGAGGAGGTAGATTTGTTTGTCAACAAACCAAGCTTGGCAAAAAAAAAGGAAAACAGGTAGATTTTAGATTACAAAAAATATTATTAATCATAAGCCGGTAAACTAAGTTCCAGTATATTCCATTTGGTGTAGAAATTGTACGAGTGATTGTGCCGATAGGGGCACAACCTTTCTTGATTTTCATTCCTTCAGCAATATTATATGGATTGTGTTCAACCTTTCAATTGCATGGATATAAAGTGCTAAGATTTCTACATGTGCATGTGCTGCACACTGACATTTGGAAACACTGTATGGCAAGTTTTTCATTTGACAAACATTTGTCAGATGTCTTTGGGGCCCGGTGATCAGTTGGGGGCTGAAGAGTGCCTTTTGCGCCCCTCCTCAGGTCTTCTGCTCTCCCCAGAGGGTGGTGCCTGGAGGCCTGGGGGAAGCAATCTTTTTTCACACCTGTCTGTCCAGTCGGGTGGGGTCTCTGGCTCCTGGGAGGCTGAGTCTGGGGGGCATGGAGTTGAGAGGGGGGTGAGGGCCAGGCAGACATCCCCCACACAGAGCTGCCGACACTGCAGGCCACAGAGACGGGCTGTCCTCTGGGGGCTACATGAAGACCAGCCCTGGCCCCGCACAAAGAAAGGGTACTCCAAGTGTACATCCACCAACTCCTGCAGGGGAGTACAAATGATCTTATACTTAATGTGCAAATGAACTTTGAAATAATCCTTTATAGGATCCTTTGCTGAATTGTAGCAAATTATTGAAATGTAATCTAAAAAATTACTTTATTTTATATAGCACTTTTCACCGACATCTGTCACAAAAATGCTTTACAGAGCATTATTCAGCATTATTCATTCACTCCAGACCCAGTGATGGTAAGCTACTATTGTAGCCACAGCTGCGCTGGTGCTGACTGGCAGAATCAACAACATCGGGCCCTCCAACCACCACCATCACTCATGCACACACCACTTTCATACAAGCCAATGTGGGTGAAGTGTCTTGCCTAAGAACACAACAACAGTTTTGGTTGATTTTCCCAGTAGTCTCCCATCCAAATACTAACCAGGCCCGGCCCTTCTTAGCTTCTAAGATCTGACGGGATGAGGCTTTGACAAGCTGGTATGGTCACAAAAATGTAAAAATGTATTTTAACTTTTTAACTAGGCTTATTGTTGTTCACTGAAACCACTGGTCCATCCATCCATTTTCTTCCGCTTATCCGGAGCCGTGTCATGGGGGCAGCAGTCTAAGCAGGGACTCCCAGACTTCCTTCAACCTGGACTGCTTCTCTGGGGGGACCCTAAGGCGTTCCCAGGCCAGCCGCGAGACATAGTCCCTCCAGCGTGTCCTGGGTCTTCCCCAGAGCCTTAGGTTAGGTTGCTTTATTCGTACCCGTAGGTAAATTTGCTTTGCAGATTTAAGAGACAGGTTCCACATTTCACATTTCATTCATCCACAAAACACACATAAAATCACAATAAAGTGTAACAATAATGTGTTACAGTGCTCCAGTGCAGAATGGTTTGTTCCATAAACAACCAATTAAAATCATCCATCACGCTTGTCTAAAATCACAATAAATAAATCTTAAATATGTTAAAAACACACAATCTTAGATAAATAGATTACAATTTATTCATAAGTACGATAGCAGCCGGAACGAAGCTCCTTTTAAAACGATTCGTTCTAGATACGCTTGTATCCGCACTATTGTTCTTTTGGTCATTACCCAAAAGCTCATGACCATAAGTGAGGGTAGGAACATGGATCGACCAGTAAATTGAGAGATTTACCTTTCGGCTCAGCCCCCTCTTCACCACAACGGTCCAATACAGCAACCGCATCACTGCAGCCACTGCACAGATCTGCCTGTCAATCTCATGCTCCATCTTCCCCTCACTCGTGAACAAGATCCTGAGATACTTGAATTCCTACACTTGAGGCAGGGACTCATGGCCCACCTTGAAAGGGCAAGCCACCAGAAATTCTGTCCATAAATACAATGAACAAAACCGGTGACAAAGGGCAGCCCTGGTAGAGTCCAACATGCACTGAAAACAGGTCTGACTTACTGAGGGCAATGCAAACACAGCTCCTGCTCCGGTCATACCAGGGCCGGACAGCTCTTAGCAAAGGGTCCTAAACCCCATACTCCCAGAGCACCACGAAGCCCATGTACTGCTAACTGGGCGACATGACTGGCCTTTGTGTGGTGCTCATCATAGGGGCTTCTGAACTGCTCTTAGTCTGACCCATCCCACAGGATCTGTTTGCCTTGGGTGACACTACCAGGAGCATGAAGCTCCCGACAACATAGCTCCCGGCGTCATTCGGGCACACAAATCCATGCACCACGTTAAGGTGGAGGTTCAAGGAAGGGGACTTTAATGAATGCTATGTCCTAATAGTAATACAGGCCTATGAGTATCTCTTCAGTTTAGTTTAGACTTAGACAAATAGTTTTTTTTTTAACAATTATTACAGGGATGAGGATGTGCAGTTTACTCACCTGAGAGAGCGGCTGGTGCAGGAGGAGGAGCAGGCGGCACACTGAGGGAGTCTGCTCTGAGGGGCAAATTCTCTGCACGGTGCAACAGCTAAGGCGTAGGTCGGGACAGGCCATAGCACCCAGCAGGAAGTCCTCTGTCTGCAAACTCTCCACCCGCTGCAGACGTCCGTCCTGTAGCTCCACCAAAGAGCCTGCTTCAAAATGTGGCAGCAGCCAAGGCAGAGGGCTGAGAGCACAGGACGGGGCCTGACCGGGGAGCTGTGGAGGGACACTTCTCACTGTCAAGTTTTCACTACAGGGAACTTTGAGAATGGGGTATGGAGGTGGCTTTGTTGGCTTGTAAAACTGAGGACATAGAAGCAAATAGTCAACTTACACACATACACACACAATCTGATAAGCTTATACAGTATGTAAAAAAATACAAGTGAAAAGTGAAGGCTAGTGCTGTATTTGCTTGCACTCAAAAACAAGTCTTTAATACACAAGTTAATGTTTCTTTTTTTAAGTGCTGTTTTTACTGTACTTACATATTTAGGTGCACTTGAACTCCATGATGTTTGTTTTATGTTTTCCAGTGTAGATAAGTTAGATGTGATGTCTCTTCTGCCCATGTTCAGGCCATTATTCCTTCCATTAATCTCCTTGTCTGTGTGTTGTAGTTTCCTTTCCCAGTGTGGAGCATTCTGCAGAGACACAGGTGTGGGCTGTACATATTTGGAGGGTCCAGACAGGTGAGAGTGCAGCCTATCAAAGTGAAATGGACTCCATGACTGTAGAGAATGCACATTGTTCAGCTCTGTCCAGTGTTGATAGTCTGTGAATGCTGACCGGCCGTGTGGTTTGATCCTGCCGGAGTGGTGTGTCCATGAATGGCGCAATGGCCGCACCCGTCTTGGGACAGGTTGGAAGGGGCTGCTGTGTCTTTTATATGGATAGGGGGCTTTAAAGATGGCACTGTCACATTGTGGACTGTGGGGAGGTGAGTCTGGTCTCTGGTCTCTCTTCTTCAGAGGAAGGCTGTCTCTATCAGACAACAGAGGAGGGTATAAAGAGAAGCTCATATCGCTGACGCTCAACTGGACTCAGTTTGCTCTCATTTAGGATTTCAGCAATGCTGAAGTTTGAATTCCCCTGAAAATGAGAAGATAGGCTTTACGGAATGTTACAGGTCACTAACCCAAAAAGCAACACAACATTGTTGCACTGCTTTCATCTGAGACCATACACCTACACAAGCCAGCTGTGCACTCATGCCATGAGTGCACAGTTAGAGTCATATAATGTGGCTGTTGTAGCCAGTAGAACCATTTGCTCCACTACATGCAACAAATTAAGGCCTTCAATGATGTTGATGGGGCTAAGATAAAGTGTTGCTATGGTAACAAAGTACAGCTCAGTACAACTGATGATGTGAGAAGCAAAGCAAGAATATGGAAAACTAAATGACAAGTGTGGGTGTAGAGTTATATAGGTTACATATGTATTCCGTTATTCTGGCCTCTGGAACATAAGTGATGAACATAAGTGATGGACATAAGTGATGCGACACCTTTCTGCTGACCTCCTCATGAGACTTACACAAGACTCATCATGCTAAAGTGGGCTAAATATAAGCGACTCTTATAGCTACCAGATTTTACACTCATCAGATGCAGCAGACATAATAAAGTGATGTAATGACTAAAGTAGTTACTTAAAATACACATCTTACCTGGAGAGATGATTCTTGCTGCCATATACCTCACCATTCTGAGCCTAGCTTCCTGAGCTTACTCTCAAGGTAATACTTCATCTTTTCTATTAATAATAACACCCATGGAAATTCATTCAAATGTTACCCGTCTCTGTCATTAGTCAGTATGATCAGATATGTCTGGCTTGTCACCTTATGAGGTCATCTGTTAACTACATGCTCATGTTATGCAAACTAAATGTATACTGCATGTGAAGGACTTTTGCATATGATTCTCGTCTAGTTTGTCTAGTGTTATCTATGGTGGTGTTATTACATGAGCAAACTAAATTACTTGGAAAAACAAGAGCATTTGTAATTTCTCACCTAGTACTTTGGCAGACATTCAGGTTGCTCCATTCATTCTTGTCTCTTCTACTCAGACATCTTCAGACATGTTCCTGTAGACAGCTGCTCCTCCGCACACCTGTCTGGTTCCTGTGTTCCCTGTTTGCAGGTGAAATAAGCAGAATGAACATCCAGACAGGCTCAGTAGACACTCCTCTCTCTCTCTCTCTTTCCTCCTACTCGCTTTTTACATTTTGCACTCCCACTCTCCTCAGCCAGTCCTGTTAACCTTTCTGAGACACAGCTCACAGCTCTGTTTTCTTCCTCTCTGTTTCTATCTGCCAGTCGCTCACATCTGAACTTGTTCACCTCATATGATGGCTGCTGGGCTCTCAGCCTCTCCTTCATTTCAAATCACCTTCCTCCACTCATATCCCTCCTCTCTATAGCTCACCACAGTTGGGAGTATAATTAGAAATGAGACTGCCGTGCCACTCCTCAGATGATGGTAGGCGTACAGTACAACTGCCTGATGGCTCTGGTGCTTTGCCTTGTGTAGTGAGGGTGGCAAACACTTAAGATCAGCCTGGACACAAACAAAAACATGCATCATTATTAAATACGCAGGCAAACTCAACCGAAGAATTCTACTTACTGATATATACATATAAGGTAACTATGCCACTAGGTTTAGAACTAATCAAATTCAATCCACCATTTTAAAGATTAACAGCAAACCAGTATTGTATACTATCCTTGTGTCCTGTGTATGGGTAAAAAGTTATACAGAAATGACCATAAGTACCATGGCCACCGAGCATCCACTGTCCCAGATGATGTGTGAATTAAATATGCGTGACTGTAGCTACGGCCTTATCTGTCTACTGTATAGAAATGTATCTCACATTATTAATCTGACAATATAAAAAAGAAAACATATGATCTCTGATTGGGAATCCCAACATAGGATTCCCAGGCAAAGTAAGCTGCTTCATATCATTAAAACGTAATTTCATTAGCAGTAACTTAAATGGCTAACTATGGGGAACTCTATCAGATTTTTTTTGTTTTGTTTCAACTATTTGCATGTAAGAACTTTCTGTAGCTCAGAGTGGTCAGTTCAACATTAACCTCATGCAGATAATTTAGATATCTTATGAGACCTGGGGCATATTGTTTTCTCAACTGTCTCAACTGTTGTCTCTTGTATTTTTACATTTGAACTCATGAACTTCTTATCATCTTATTGTTGTGTAGTCACTTGATTTTTTTTATGCCCTCAGCAGGTAAACCCCCGAGAAGCCCATCTGAGTCTATGAAGAGGATTTCTCACTTTGAGTCATCTCGTGTTTCCTCTGCCCACTCGCACTCTCAGTGGGTGACTCTTATGTACTACACAAAACACACAGGATTCACATTCACAGCAGGTTAAGTTTGCACTGCACAGTTGGCCACAATTGCACTTTTGCACAACTGCACAAAACAAAACAATAAAACAAACAATAAAATAAACTACAAGGAACTAGAAAGAAAGAATATATTTTGGAAAAAGGTTGCCTTAAAAACATAAATGTTAATTAGTATGCACTGCCCACCAAAATAAAATAAATACATAAAATAAATGACCTTTCAGGTGGAGGTTCTGCCACTTGCTTGTTTCCATGGAGATGTTACTTTTGCTTTTGGAATGTTAAATTCTCTTATAGATGTTTTTGTAACTCAACTATTCCTGGTAAAATTCCTGCTTTAGATAAGATAAGTTTAATTCCATACAGTGCATATAGAAACATGCAGGCCGGACACTCTCTCAGTAAAGTAGCTAGATGGAACAATAATAAATTCCTCACCAAAGTATTTTTTCATGAAAACAAACAAACAAACACAATCTTAACTTAATGGTCCTATATTACACAAAATTGACTACAGTGAGCTTTATGCTAAGTTATAATGTTGTTACCTCCTCAAAAACATTCGTGGAATTGTGTTTTGTTTCATTCACACGTTTGAGTAACGTTACATTATTAGTCTGTATACATCTCCAAAACTCAAAATGCTCTGTTCCACCTAGAGATGTCATGAAGCAACAGTTTTCAAGGTTACCTTTTGTTTAGTAGATTGGCAATTCCGGAGCTGAAATGATCCAAATGACTCTGGTGAAGGTGTATGTAGCTTAAAAACACAGTGGACCTTTATTACCACATGACATCACTAGGTGAGTGTTTTCTATTTGAGAGAAGAAAATCTAAATATGCAGGGTGTGTGTGTAAATGCAACAAAATAAAACTATCCTTTAATTAAAAAAGGCTGCTACATTTTTACCAAAACTTAAAACCCCAACTGGCCTCTTCCTGTTAAACCGACGTAGCGGTAGTTGTGTATTACCACCACCAGAGGGCGCCCTGAGCGTTTCAGTTGCTTTGCAAATAATGAGTAAACCCATCAGGAGCACACGCTGTCGTACTCAGCAACTAGCCTATTATATTACCATATTTTATAAAATATAAATCGATACAAATGTCCGGTAATTGAGATTCTTTTTTGCATCAGAGGAATAGACCTGTGTCGTGTCGAGCTTTTAATTTTTGTACTGTTTTCCCACACAACCATGTCCCCATGGAGGGAGGAAAAAGCACAGAACTCAAAAAGTAAAGTTGATTAAGATGAACCAAGAACTGATAAAATCAAATTGAACTTTGAGTTGTTTTTCTCCTGATTGGAAGCGATGCTGTTATAAATAAGGCTATTATTTATTTCATACTATTATTATTTAGCCTACAAAAACCGAAAATAAATTAGCCTACTTAAGTTTTGAGAGTTCATTAGCCGAAAAGAAATCACAAAAGAAATCCACCTCTAGTTTATACATTGTGTCTACGGTATGTAAAAGGCTTGGCATCAAGGAACCACCCACCTCTTCTCACATGCATCACCATTCAGGGTAAAGTGATTGAAGTACCTTGCCTAATGACACACAGGCACAATGTGTATCACAATGTGGAGACAAAGATCTGTATGGTGTATCAGATACCTGCCTTCCTCGTGGGGACAAAAATTAGGTACCCATGACTTAAATCATTTTTTTAATCAACAACATCATTTAAAATTCAGATATGGGTTACAACAGGTTAAGTTTAGTAACAGTGGCACAGTATCTTTTGCGTAATGACTGGTACCCACCCAGTATGAGCTACTTATTTAGGTCTCTAACATGTCTTAAAAAGAATGCAGAATTTGTTTTGAGATGCCTTAGCTGTTATTTCAAGCACTAAGATTAGTTTAGTATCTTGGAAGCTTTTAATAATTGCATAACTAAATTTGACTCAAGGCACGCTCATAGTTTGTAATGCCACAAAAATAACAAAGCCATGTGTTTGCTTCTCCTAGGTTTTGTGCTGCACAGTTATATAAGCCCCTCCCCTGTCCCCCTTCTCATTGGTCAGACAGTCTGCTCCTCTTGGACACTAACTTCTCCTCTCCTTGTTAGCCGCTGAGTGAGCCACTTGGAGGAGCAGTTTGGAGAGGCTGTGCTGAAGAGCTGGAGAGATGACCATCGCAGTCTGACTCACTGATTATCTGATTTTCCTGTGACCTTCTGACAACATGAGCTCCAATACACGCCTGCCAAGTGAGTATGAACTGAGATCGTAAAGCCCCTATTTACAAGCAATAGATCCTTTAACAGTTTTAACATATTTTGTCAAGGCAATTTAAATGTTGACTGAACAAACTAGAAGTGTAAGTTTGTGTGTGAATATGAATGTATGGATTCACTATATGGAATTTCTTGCATTCTTGATCCTTGGCCCATGTTATAATGCTGACATCCTTCTAGACTCTAGAAGTGTTAAGTAATAGATATACATAGAACAATAGTTATACATACTCTAGAGACAAACAATAATTATGCCTTTTAATAGCTGTCATTTTAATTTTAACATTAATTGAAATGTTCTTTTATTATAAAGCTACAGTATGCTGATTTGTATATCTTACTTAATATAGGCTACTGTAAACTTGCTGAAGTACTGTTAACAAATATTTCTTGTATTAGGTCATGCTCTCTCTGTGATGTATTTTGAAACTACAAGGTGACACTTGTAGGTCATTAGCATGGCTTCCAGCTTTAATTCCACATTCACACTGACCCACTAAGTCCTGACTCATGTGCTGGATGGCCCTGAAACCTATTTTCAAATAGCTTCAACTGATAAAGTCTTTATATGTTTTGACCATCTTAGTTAAATGTTTTTGTGTTTTAAAGGAAGCCACAAATAGTTATATGTATTGGTTTTGATCAGTTTAGACAATCCATGTCTACCTCTCCTTTTTATTGACAAACATCTGCTCCATAGATATGAATTACACATTATAATATATATATATTTACTTTTATAAGTATTGATATGTTGATGTAGCTATTCAATATGGAATTAACACATTATACACAGTTTGTTATATGAGTTAATGCTTCACTATTATTTTGCTTATTTAATAGCCAAATTTCCTATTGTCCAGTATGTACCCTCTTACCTTCCCCACAGGCCCATAGTAGCACAAGTGGATTATCCCTGCATACCAAAATTCTATGCTCATTATACTCAGATTACTGTCACAAGAACGGTGTCATTGTTTATTTTTTCCATGTGAGCCTCTAACCGTGATGACTGTAGAGTGACGGTCTAGTTGTGGGTTAAATAGCTGTTGTTGTGTGGATGCTTCCTGGATGTAAAAGTGCTGTTCCAGCCCAAATCCAACCCAGGAATGTTGAATCATCGCGCTGACTAATGCTCCCCTAATATCGAGTGCTCTTAGCCCGTTCTGTTGGATTAGGGCCACTGCACAACTCCAGACAAAAATCTGCTGCCTCTAATGAGATTGTGCTTCTCGATCCAATCAAACGCTGCTCCCTGGTGTCCCACAGACACACAAACCCATATTCAGAATCAGGAGGGGGATTGAGTCAGTCCCTTTATGATTTCATACAGATCAGCTGTTAGCCCTCAACCCAACCGACCCCCATCTGTTGCTGAGCCTAGCGCTGGTACTGCTTGTTGTGAAAATGACCCAAAGAGTGGTCGTCTGGATAGACCACTGGATGTGGATGGGCCAGATGTTGCAGTCTAACTGCAAGAGGGGCTGATACCTGATGAAGGCTCTGTGCTGCCATACCGTAAAGACATGTAAAGCTGATCACACGTGTCAAATTTCAACAATTCTAATTGGATAAATGTCTTAGTTCTCCAATTTAAGTAGTTGTGGATTGTGGTATGACAATTGATTGTTCAGAAAATAGGGGTGGGTGGAAATGTTTTTTTTTTCTTTATTGACTGAATACACTTTAAGATGATGAAGTATTTACATTTGGATTGGACAAAAAAGAGTTACATGTTGGTGAGTTACATCTCTCAGCTCCAAAAAGCAGTACTAGAATGGATACAAAAATATGATATAAAAAAAATATATAGTGAGGAAACTGAATCATGAAATTTATATATTAAGAATTATGTTAAAATCTCATCTTGTTTCATCACTACTGTTTTTTTTTTTTTTTTTTTTTTTTTTTCAATATTTTGTACACAAATTTACTGACTTTACAGACACAATGTTTTGGATGTGAACATTATAGTTGTGAGAAATCCTAAAATAAAAGTGACACACCACCTGTCTGTTCACTTAACCCGGACTATTTTCTATTTAGAGGCCTTTGAAAAAAAAAGACATGGAGGGCCGCTTTTAAGAGTGAAGGCTTAAACATCTTCAGTGTGCTTTAACTAGCAGCTTCATTATCTGCCCAATTACAGTGCCATTCCTCAAGGCCATAGACACAGTATTAATTACCACAAGAGCTGAAAACTGTTAACAGCCTGCTGGAAGAAGGCTGGGGTCGATCTTGAGCTGGGAGCAAAGATAAAATAACAAGATAGGCTTTCTACCTAATGAGACCCTCCCCTGTGCTGTGTTCACACGGTGTGGGAGATTCAATCGCTCCATTATACTCTTATGTAGGGTCTGAAATGTCTGAGAGGTTGTTTTAATGTTCATATGAAAGCTAAATGTCTCTGTACGACATAGTTTATACACTACAATCATTGTCCATACAGAAAATGTTCCATTCGTTAAGAGCCTCAGGAGTAATTTAATCTTATTCATAACATCATTCATGACAATATTGCGACCTAGATCAAAGTGTGTTGGATATATAACTTACTACAACACATTACCTGCAAGCTGAATTTTATTGTGGAAGTTCCAAAATAAAATGTATTTTAATTTTAAAAAGGCTGAACCTGAGTTTGTTTGATTGTGCCAGTATCAAGCCTATAAAGAGGGTTTTATTCATATTCATTGAAACTAATTAATTGATTGATTAATTGAAGCTATTAAGATACACTTTTGTTCCAGTAGGGAAATTTGTGCTGAAAACTGGTGAGCTTTCGTTGAGACTTGAGTTAGATTTGGAGTAACCTGAAGATATTTTTTTATATTCTTCCTGCCCTGTAATATTATATAGATTAGCATTTCAAACGTTTCAAAAAGAGCTACGAAACTGAACTGCCATGCCTGTGACCAAAAGAAGAGAGTGAGAGAGGAGGACGCCCGGGATTCTGGAGGTACAAGAACAGGATGATTGGTTTAACAAGTATCCACACTTCAAACTCCGCCCCTTTAATCAGGCCAGTCTCTTGTGATGTCCGCGACTACTGGAAATTTGGGCGTTTTAAATTGACCTAGTTTGCTGTCACGCTTTAAAGAGACATACAGAGCCAAAATGCAAGACCACACTTGAAAAATTGTTTAATGGAAACTTTAACTAAGACCAGAAGTAAACAAACACAAACATCCAAAATAGAAACTTAAATGACATGACACTGATAATGGACCAGCAAACGGCAGAAGAAAACGCAGGGTGTATATGCACACACAGAGGAAGAATCAATGTGACAAAACGCAAAACTCAAAACACATACATGGACACAGAAATTACAAAATAAAATTGGGTTCAGAATAATAAAATAACACCATGACTAGGAACAGTAGATCATGCTATTAGAATATCTATACATATTTTAGTAGTGAAAAAAGCTAATTGCATCTTTACTTTCATTTCTACTTTAATTCTAAAAAAAAAATTTCTGTTGGCCCACTAAAATACAATTTATAGTACAACGTAAGCCTCGCCAGTCTCTCTCCTCTCTCATGTTACGGCTGGCAGCATGTCCATGTGAAATAAAATCTCAACTCTGACAAACCGTAGCACAGAGGCTGAAAAGAGCCAGCCAGTCTATTCTCCACGCCTCAGCTCAAACAAGTGTAAAAGCTCTCATGCCACTCGCTGTTGCTTGGTGCCAGCAGCTTTGGCCATTTGATACACAACTTGAATGGGTTTAAAGCATACAGTCCGTCATAGACTCTCCTTACATTAGACTTACTTAGATTTAGACAAACTTTATTGATCCACAAGGAAATTGGACACAGTAACTCATACTAAAATACAAAAAAAGAGCAAAAATATAAATATAATAAAAGCAAAAATAATAAGTCACAAATATTATAGGCTGGTGTCAAATAAGACACAATTAGCCTATATAAATGTACAAGTAAAAATAAAAAAAAACATAGTAATACAAATATATCTTTCAGCTAAACTATACAAGAGGTCCTAAGGAGAAAACAGTGCAAAGATGAAAGACTCTTTGACTTGACATAGGGTTATAAGGGTGAGTTGTTGTAGAGTGGTATGTAAAGGTGGAGTATGGCATGAATGTGACTACATTCCGTATCTTTGCATCACAGTTTCACTAGAGCTGTAGGAGACTGTTTTGAGAATGAGCTCAACAATATATTTTGTAATTTGCAAAAGTTTGTCATTGTGGGTCCGACTTCAAATTAAGAACTTTCCTAATTAGAGACAAAGACACCAGAATTAATGGAAAACTGGAGCAATTTTTGTTCATTTTTATTTATTTTTTGGTAGGCAAGAAGACTGAATATCAATATTTAGACATGATCATAATCAAATATAGGCCTGCATTTGCTGTTGTTGTAATGTAGTTAAACTAAAGATAAAACCTTTGAGTATTAAAAAATGATGAGATTTCATTTCAAGGTGAAATGATTTTTTCTAAATGATTTCACTTCATTCTTAAACAGTTTACAAAGCAGAGCACTTGTCTCCACTTGTCTCATTACTATGGTTCTTCATGCTGCCTTTGGGGGAGTCTCTTATTTCAAACCTGATTGGACGCCTCCCTCAATACCACCACCAGGGCTGTTTTCAAAAGAGTGATCTCATCCATTTACACAAGGACAGCGATTCTCAGGAAAGGCCTTGGCATACCCTAAATTAGTCCAACATTCAGCTCCATATTAATCACTGCGCTGGTTCTCATGAGAATCCTGCTTTACTGTATTTACCAAAGACTATGAACTCTGGAATTTTACATTTGTTAAAAGGAGATTCTCTGGAAAAGTAGTTAAAAATGGTGACCTTCGCAGTCACAGAGCAGACCCCTCGAGCTCACGATTTCACCAGGGGACCGTTGAGCTAATGGAGCTGTGGGTAACACTGTCTGTAGCATTTACACAACAGATCAATGTGCCGCTGTCTTACTATACTGATCATTTCTGGGAGCAGACCTTCAAAATATGGTATTACATAATATGTCTTCTCAAATATCATCGGTAGGCTAGTGAAGTTATGCAAAAATGTAGTTGGTTAAGTTCTGGTATCTACTGTATATGGTTGATACTTAAGTACTCTGTAGGCACAAAAAACTTACTTATATGGAAAAGCATTTATCACAGCTATTTTTATTCTGTATTATACTGTTTAATCTTTGCCTTATGCCTGCTTAATTATCTGTACGTAAAGCACTTTGTAACTCTGTTAAAAAGTGCTATATAAATCAAGTTAATAATACTAATACTAAAATGGCTTTGCTGTTTTTTTTGCTTATAGTTAAAACAAAAGAAAATTTTCACTGTACCTCCTTTTAAGACTTTCTCTATGTCTGTACACTCAAACCTTCTACCAACTGAGTTATCTTTTTGCACATGATAGGAAATGTTGTTGATGTTATTCTTCGTTTTTACTAATTTTTGCCACTAATACCCATCCCTACATATAAGCAGGCAAAATTTGATAATGAAAAGTGCTGGAATTCCCCCGATTTTGATGTGTTCAAGATTCCTGTTTCCTGTTAATCTCAGGGTAAATTTAGATGCATTCTGGCTCTGTCTCATTCATAGTCTTTCCTTAAACTGGCATTAGTCCCAATCTTTTACATCTTGTCTTTGTGCCTCTGTGAATGGACTCTCTCTGTGCTTGCCCCGGGACAGAGGAGGCTGGGTCTGACAGTCTGTGGGGAGGGGGCAGAATGGCACACAGACATGTCCGGTCTCTATCAGTCTGTTTTACTCATTATAAGGCCATCTGCTTTTCTCATCTGAACAATGACCATTACATTCTCAAGGCTGAACTGGCTCAAATCGGTGCTATAGGTCAATTCTACACTGTACAACATAGACATCTTTTGTTCTTATTGGATGTTTTTATTTGCTTGTATGTTGCATTTAGGGATTGGTATTTTTTAGTAGTTACATTTGATTGAGATCTCATTATTTAATCTCATCCATGGTAGGGCTGATGCTTTTTAACTACAGTCTACAGTATGTGTATATAATCTTTTTTTTTTTTTATTGGATTGTATTTTTTTTTCCTTTTTGCTGTACAACCCTAATTGCCCTAATTCAAGGATGGTGTGACAATATGCGTGTAGTCTGCACCATTTAGGCAGACCTCTCATAGGAAGAGTCATGTCACAAATAGACCAAGTAATGCAAAAGCAGATATTTTCTCAGCTGTTTTGATTTTATGTTTAGTGTGTTAAATGAAATAATGAAATGACTGCACCTGCCCAAGCTGTCTGGTCCTGTTTGGTGACCAGGGGCTTTGATGATGTTGTTACTAAACAGAGGTTGTGAGGGCAGGGAAACCCGCATTGATGAAGACTCTTTAATGGAAACAGAACTGGATAGGGAAGACAAATCAATGACTGGATAACCTTTGGCTCTGCAGACCCCAAGCTTTAAGTGGTAACAATCAATACTACAATCAATCATCATTAACAGTGCATAAAAAAATCAGTTAAGCACTTTGTTTCAACTATTTTATTTGACGCTCTATCTGGACCTTTATATATTTGCCTTATTTTGGTGTTTGCAAATGATCACAATCAAAAGCAGCCTCCTATTACTTAAAAACACACCAAGACACTGACTTCTAACACTTGATGACATGCTGCTCTGTCAGCACTGCACCCTTCACTCCTCCTGACTGTGGACAATATTGTGATTGTATAATAGTGACAGAACAAGGCTGCATCACACATACAGTAGATGCACACACCACGCATATTTTACTTGTTTTTATTAACTACTATATCCCTTATTCAGTGGGTGAATGAGGTGAATAGAGGTTTAGTATGGGCATTATATATGTTCCAAATATCGGTATGAGTCTGTGCTTGCGTCATTCCCCTCATTGCATCAGAATTGTCTTTTTAAAGACAAATGAGTAAAATGGAAATAGAATACAATATTAATGTAAACATTTTAACACATTATTTTATATCCCAAATAAATAAATGTTGATATTATTCTTTACAAAAGTTAAAAGATAAATTTGCATGCCTTGCAATGGATTTTAAAAGTTAAATATTGGTCACAGCAGCAAGCCAAATATCAGATATCAGCCTCAGCTAGTTTAGTATTTCATTTAACTACATATCACACAAACGGTAGCTATAAAGAATTGATCAACCAAATTTTTTATATATATTTTTTGTATATAAATCCAGCTCATGTGATGGCCTATAAGCTCTGCTAAAAAAAAAGGATAATGAGGAAAAATAAAGGATAACCCATCTTGACTCCCTGTCCCTTCTCCTCCTTTGAATCCTCTCTGACAACGTCCTATGCCCAGGAGGAAGGCTGTCAAACACACAGCACCAGGCTCTTTGCTGAGCAGGCACAACCTTAATCAGCTTTTTTCAACACTAAAATTTGATCTAGTGGTGATGGGACACAGTGGTTATGATGAAGAAATGTATTTTATCAGTTAGCAGCGGAGAATCCCAGGAATGTACCTAATGTAAACATCTGAGTCTGTGCTCTTCAACAGGCAGGTGTATTTTTAGACACGCTGACTTCTGTTCCTTCTCTTAATCTACGCTATTCCCAGTGTAGACCCAGCTCGGTGACATTATCCAATTAGCTCAGTTCTGCTGGTAAAAGCATTGCTGTAGGATAAAGATTTTCAAATATATAGCCTATATGTGTGTGGGTAAACTGTGTAATGTTCATGTGTTCCAATGTATTTGCATTTAACAGTATTATCTAACTTCTTTAAGTCCTTATTCTAAGTGGTGTTTTGTTCCAGTAATTCATAGCCATTATCTCATTCATGCTGATGAGTGGGAAAATTGGATTGAGTGATGTCTTATACGAGATTAGCAAATAGTAAACTGACTGCACGTTGTCAAAGTGGCCATAGCATCAGCAGTGATTAAAGCGTGAGCGAAGAGCATGAATTCAATTAAATCTATAGTTAAGTTTGAGTCATAATATTAATTGTGATAGTATTATTAATGCTTATGCAGTTCCTTAATCATCCACATGAGTCCAATAGAAAGAAAAGATTTTAACTTGTTAACCATGTGTGAAGAATCCCTCAGTCGTCCAGGTAGAATCCATGGCAAGGAGAAAATTCTGTTTGTCAACTGGACAAAAGTTAGTTTGGTTGAAGACGTTTTGCAGCTCATCCAAGTTGCTTCTTCAGTTCTGGTCAGACGCTGGTGGACACTTCTTTATATCTGTCTGTAGGGAGGAGCTAACTAACTGAAACTAACACCCACTTGTTTACAGTTTCTGTTAGTTAGTTAGGTCTATTGACCTGTACAGGGAGTGAGGTCTAATTAGCATAACAATTCATTAATTCAACTAACTTTTGTCCAGGTGACAAACTGAATTTTCTCCTCGCCTTGTTAACCCTGTGTCTATGTTTGAGTTAAATGTTGTAATGTTATGTGATCATCATCAATCATGATAATTTAGGCTTAATTCAAAGTATAATGTAGTTATATACTAATTGCAATATATAACTCTTGTTACTCAACCACACATACACACCACTTGAATAATAGTGCTGTCTCATCAAATTTCTTATCCAACAAAAACAATGCATGCATAAAACTCATTGTACTTTCTGCATAATAATATCAAAATAATAATATAGGTATGTCTAAATTGGCCTGTTCTCTTCCAGCAGACACAGAGCGCAGTCAGAGGATGGTGTCAGACATGGATGCAGCTCAACAGCTCAAACTTAGAGAGAGACAGCGTTTTTTTGAAGAGGTCTTCCAACATGATGTGGATGTTTACCTGTCATCAGCCCATCTGAGCATTAAAGACTACAAAAGACGTGAGTTTGGAGATCTGCAGACAACACAGATTGCCTTAACTCTCATATCAAACGTGCTAAACTCTTTTTTTATCTTTAAGACAATGTTATATAAATAATTCTTTCAACAATATTTTACAAATATTTGCAGCATATTGCTTTCAAACCAATAGGAACAGTTTGCTGTAGGTGAGTGAACACTCTGATCACTGAGCCCCTCTCTCTTTTGGTAGAGACTGACCTCTACAGGCTAATAGCACCCAATACCATACTCTGCGTCTGCAACTATATTTTGGTAACTCTGTGAAATTGTAGTGGTTGTATTTTGTCCTGCTTTTAATATATGAACTTTTTGGGCAAAATGTTTTGTTGGTAAGAAATTATCTCACAAGAACAGCTTGTGTTCTGTTTTGCATAATGTGATCAATAAAATATAAACATAACATATACCTAGAATCAAGATGTTGTCTTATTAGTTTTAGTTACTTGGAAACATTCAGGGAAATGCCAAACAGTTTCCCATTATTTTGCAGCACCGATTGGCAGCATCTCATCTATGGAAGTTAACGTGGACTTGCTTGACCAGATGGAGCTGATCGACATTTCTGACCAAGACGCCTTAGATGTATTCTTTAGCTCAAGTGAAGAAGCTGTTCTTACTGCGCCTATGCCAGGTATGTCAACTACTAGACACACATATTATATAAAGTCAGTTATATATTTGTTAATCATTATATAATTCTAATCAGTACAAGGCAACAATAACAACGAAGAGGTCTTCAGCAATGGGCTATTCCAGCATGTGCTTGAGGACCTCGATTCCAAGTCCCGAATGTCCTCCACATCTTCTGTGTCCTCGGGGGACAGCCAGAACATGAACGCCAACAGGACGTACTCGCCCACAGAAGGTTCTGATGATGAAGAGCAGGAGAAGAGTGGGACACTAAAGAGGAGAACCAAGCCCACAGAAAAGAGAGCACTGTGAGTCACTGGAGAGAGTAGCAAGCTCTAATGGACCCAAAAAAGTCTGCCCTCACCTGAACTGTTGTGTCTTTATTTTTGTATGCATTTCACTAATTGATAGGTCACATTGTGTAAAAATGTGTGGGCTGATTCTATGTAAATAAAATATTTAGCTTGACAGTTTAATTGTAGCAGCAGCATGTTTTTAGGACATTATTTTAGAAAACTGTACAGTATCAATAAAAAACTCAGATGGATAGAGAGGACTTAGAGCAAGTCAGACGTTTAATTATTATTTAAATAATAATTATTATTTCAACAACTGATTTTTTTTGCATACTATAACATTACTACACGTACATACCTGTATTATATTTGATTTGAATTGAGAAAATGTTCACAAAATAATAATTAAACAAATGTTTAATATTTGTGTTGTATTTTTTGCACACTACTTGAAATATTTTTATTGTTCAGAAGTGGATAAACAACTTTGTTTTCTTCTAATAAGACAACTTTGTAAAACGCTAAATAGCTTATTTACCTGATATGTTTTGACGGTAGCGCTTCCTTCGTCAGTGTCAGCAGACCCACTTTCTGATTTCAATAGCCTCTGAAGTCAGGAAGCGTGTAGACCATCAACACAGATGAGGGAAAATTTATCTTGGCTCACACATGGGATTCATTGCTCGAGAGACCACCACACTATGGCAGGCGTGATCAGTCAGTGATCAAACTGACCACATCTAGAAACAACAGCTCATAAGAGACACGTCACAGCAGTCAGCTGACACCTCTGACGAAGATGGAAGTGCATGTTAGGTAAATAAGCAATTTAGCTTTTAACAAAGTTGTCTTTTTAGAAGAAAACACTAAGTTTCTATACAACAAGAAGACAAAATTTTGTTTCTAAACAGAAGTGGATCACTTTGGACTTGGCACAAGGTTTGATTGTGTAAGAATAATGAGTAAAGAATGTAAATATTAATAAAAAAAAAAGGTTAAACAGTAGTTGGTGGTTAAGGTCCAGTCTGTTTGGTGCATGTGACTACCATTAAAATGCATTCTTATGCATCATAATGTAGCTAAGAGCAAATTCTCTCACAGTGCACGTAGTCTTTAATTTGGCTTTGAACCTTCCCTGGGCTGTAAAACTAGATACGTCCACATCCAGTTTCTTCTGTTAGAGTAAACATTGCATTTTTATGTGTAATTTTGATCTATGCTCTTTCAACAAAGGCATGACATGCTGCTTTAAAGAAATCAAGTACAATGTCAACATTTCAAACAATCTAACATGAAAGGGTGTGTTTTTCGCATGAACTGTACAAGTATGATATGTAACAAGCACTACCATATACATATTACACAACAACAACTTAATAGTGGAAAAAGTACAACATTTCACTACCATCTCAGTTCAGATGGAAATTCAACATCTTTCACTGTTTTAATGTTTTAACTTGATATTACTCAGTATATATATATGAAGACTACTGTAATAGGTTCAGTTGTGACACACTGTTCACCCTGTTATTAGTGTGAATAGTGGAAGGGGGTGTGTGGGTGGAGGTGGAGCCTACGGTTGAGCCTATGTTATACGAGAAACACTTTTGACAACCACACATATTACTGAATAGATCCGACCATGCTCCGCTTTATCTTTACCGTAAGTACCAATGCAACAGATATTTCTCTGAACAAATGCAATTTCAAATAATGCTCTCTGTCATTCAATTAATAATTTTGTTAATTTTAATTAGGTAGAAAATACAACATATAATATATAATTTATCATCAAGTCCTCATTGGTGGCCTTGAATAAATTTCAATAAGACAGTGAAAGTACTATGCTGAACTTTGATGAGTTGAGAGTGTTAAAGATACAGATTGTTTAGCAGATGTTGAGCTTTGAGCAATAAACTCTGAGATTAGAGTAAAATACATGGACTAATTTATGAGTTGTGGCATAGTACCAAAACATACACATATCACCCGTGTGCTTCAAGTCTTTAGTAACTGGTCGGCTGAGCACAAACATGTTGAAACTAATAGCCAAGTCTATAACTTTTAACTACTTCTGTCAGATACACAGACAAGGGGATGAGTCAAGGCAGAAACTACTGCTTTGCATACTTAGACGCAGATGACATTGTTAAGACAAAATGTCATTTTCATTTTCAGGTTTATTTTCTATCTGGGGCAGCTTGTTTGCAGCTACAGAGTCGTCACAAAAGAACTTGGATCATAGATTCCTTCTCTATAAAAGAGGGCCACCCTGGGCCGTTCCCCTACGAGCTGGGAAAAGTGAGCACTACTAATACAAGCATGTTTAATGACTCTTTATAATGAAAATAAATGATGTGTGCTGGATTTATTACAGATTGACATTGAAAGAGCCTATCGGGTTCACTTTGATCTCTATGGAGAAGGAGTGGACGAGGAACCCAAAGGGGTCCTCTCCATTGACAAGGAAAATGGCATGATCTATGTGCACAAACCCGTGGACTTCGAGGAGAAGGAGTTGCTGACGGTAGGGAACAAAGTACTAACGTCAAAGTTGAAATAAATATTCTATTGCTTTAATGCTTTAAACACTGATGTCATGGACATAAATTCTGCTCCAAAAATATGCATCCATCTAAATAATTATTATATTATTTGTTACATCTATGACTATTATTTTATTCTTATTTCTACAGCTGAAATTTGAGGCCAAAAAATCTGACTTCTCTGTAGATACAAAATTAGGTGTTCAGATCACAATAATTGACATCAATGACAATCCACCTGTTTTCCAAAAAAGTTTATATGAAATAACCATACAAGAAGATACAGCTCAAGGTAATGTAAACAATCACACACCACAAGCTACATGTGCAGAGTGGTTTTATGATGACCAGTTATTTTCCAGGGTCCTTCTTACTGGCTGTGTTAGCCCACGACCGAGATCAGAGGGGCTCACCCAATTCAGCATTTCACTACGAACTCAAGTCTATGTCTCCACAAACTGAAAACGTACAGTTCTTTATTGACAGGGAGATTGGCAAAATCTCATTCAAGGGATGTTTGGACTATGAGGCGAGTACTTTCTCATGCCTTCCAGAAGCATATTATCTGGTAACAAGATATGGCATGCCTTGCCTGTAGCTATAGTTGCATATATGAAGAAAATGTAGAAACTGACTGGTGCAATATGTCTCAAGAATATCAGACTAATTACATATGAATTTAAAGGTGCATTATGTAAATTTCCTGGACTTGTCTCCATGAAGATATTGTTGCTTTGCCTAAAATTATCCACAGTGGGACATATTTTCAGTTTATTCAATTCATTGCGCAAAAACTTCCAAGACAAGGAGGCATTTTTGCTTTCACTTGAGTTACCTCTACACAGATCTGACCTGAAACTTGGTGTGGTGGCATCACCTGCTACTCCCCAGAACGATAAGATCCAATACTGCAATGGAACATACCAGGGAAAAGTTACAAAGTGCACCTTTTATTGAATAATTCCTTGAGTTTAAATTTGTTCACATACTGATAAAAACTATATTTGTCCATGCACATAACCCAAGGTGGCTGATAAGTTTACACTGTTAGTAGAGGCCAAGGACCACGGTGATGTCATAAGTCTGTCCAGTTCAGCCACAGTGGTCATCAACATCCAAGATGAAAACAACCACCTGCCAATCATCAGTGGCCAAACGGTAACAGTTAGCCGAGATTACTCCAGTCCTGTGTCTATGGGCTTTCAACAGTGCACATGTTGGATTACAACCTCTCAGTCACAAGACAGTTTTCATTTTCATTTTCAGATTCCATTTATTTAAGCCTCTCTGAATTTCAATTATTTACTATTACTTCAGTTGTTCAGTAATCCAAGTTTCTAAAATACAACATTTGTTTCTCCAGTCAGATCAGTCTTAAGTGTAATTTGTAAGGGTTTTGTGACTCAGTGAGAACTCAGATTCTTTAGATTAAATATATAAGCAGTGAGTATGGTTTTGAATTCTTACCTCCTTAACACTTTACTATAATTATATGTTGCCTGTCTATATGTCTGTCAGAATGGAAATGCAGCGTAGGGTGTGTTCTGCAATGATTTTTTTTTCTTATAAGTTCACTGCCAACTGTTAACATTATAGGGAAGTGGCAAAGTAAAGGAAGGTGAGACTGGGACATCCCCTCTCAGGATACATGTGACAGACAAGGACACCCCAAACAGCCCTGCATGGAGAGTCAAATACACAATCAGAGGAGAGGATGCCAAGCACTTTAAAATGGAGACAGACCCAGAGACTAATGACGGCATTCTCACAGTGCTGACTGTAAGTCCTGTGTATGTGTGTGTATGTGTGTGTATGTGTGTGTGCATGCCTGACATTACAGCTCCTCCCACTAATTTTGTTGCATACTATATCATTACCTGTATCTTTAAAGATTCTTGGCAGATTACTAACATTAAGTATTCTGTGAAAAGTGTATTTAAAAGAACCAAAGAACTGAGAATAATTCCTCTCAAAAACTTTTGTCCAGTTGACAGAATATATCTTTCTTTTACTATGGGCCCTATACCATGACCCTGAGGGATTATACAGACATCTATCTACAATGGTGTGTTTTTTTCAATTCACAGTGTTTGAAAAAGTAAACTTTGTGAAAACAACGTAAAATACTCATCAGATTTATAAACTTATCTAACCATCATCCAGACACTGGCTGAAGAATGCTATGATACTTTTAGATATGTAGTGTGAGGGAGTCAGTCCTGTAGGACCAGTAAAATATTACACAATCATTTAGGTAAAAAAACAAACAAACAAAAAACCAAAAACTACATTTTCAAATCTGTGCTTTGTAGCATTACAGAAGGTTTTCACTAAAGAAGTCTTTTACACTGTGGTTTCTAGTGCTTCTGTGGCTGTCTATAAAATCTATTCTTACTGTTGTTTCTGTGTGTTCAGTTTTGTCCTTTGTGTCTTTGGTCTATGGACTTTAGTAAGAGTGTGTAGTATTTAGGTGTATAGACTATAGCACAAGCAAGATATTAGTTCCATAAATATAATTGCTAATATACTAAATGATCTCTCATCAAAATTAGTAAAGACCATTATTTTAATTGAAAAATTGTCATTTTCAAACTCATTAAAAGGGTTAATCTATGTTTGGTACACTTAAAAAAATAAGTGAAAAACAATAAAAAGTTACTTTTACGTCCCAAAACCATTAAAATGGGACTGAAACTGTAATTATAAATTCTAGGACATTAATAACTCATGGTTATATTTAAACACATGTTTATTCTGTCAAAAAGTTTGCAACCAACAGCTTTGAACTTTTAAACCTGTGGTTAGTATGAGGGTTTCAAGGTGCTCGTCTTGTCCTGTCCAGTTTGTCTTGTTATGTTGTGTCCTGTGTATTTGCATGAGTCCAGTCTATCACTGACTGCTCCGTGTGCTGACTGTGTCTGTTTCTTTCGTAAGTTGGTCCTTTTTACTTGTTTGTCCTGTTTTTGTTTATTATTTTTCCTTTTATTTTTGTATTTTGAGACTAAAGCTAGATATTTTATTTAGGGGTGTCAAATTATCGCGTTAATTGCGATTAATTAATTACAGTCATATTTAGCACGTTATGTTTTTTAATCGCGTTAATCTCATTTTTAATCTCTAACTTTAGTGTTTCTGTATGTGAGTTTCTTTATTATAAAACCTGTTTTTATGTGTTGTTGGGACAACAACACACACACACAAAACACATTTATACATTTTTTTATTTCTGTAATTCCACTCATTGCCGGAAAGCCACACAAAACGCGCGCAGTAACAGCGATGTAAACGGCATGTTCACGTTTGGACCGTCAGTCGCACAATGGACGAGGTCGAAGAGCCAGTAGAACAGAGTCAGCAGTGCACAGGGAAAAACACATTCGTGTCTTGGAAATTATTCTCCCGACGTGAAATATAAAAGAAAATAACAAATATAATATCGCCTACAACTTAAATGTCACTGGTGAAAACAACCTGCATAGACTCATGATGTCTGCACTACTGTCCTATAGTGACCTGCCACATGAGGGGACACGCACACAAACACACACACACACACAAACACACATAAACACACATAAACACACACAAACACCAACAAACACAAACACACACACACACCTTCATCATCGTCATTAACCTGAGAACGCGCGGACCACGTTTCCTTCCGTAGTTACTGCGCAGACACCGACGAGCTCCCGTGAGCCGCGTGTGGATCGTGTTTTCTCGCGTACGCGGCGTAAACCGCGCTTCCTCCTGTGAGCCTCTAAACCAGAACTAACACCAAGACTAAAACCAGGACTAATCCAGTCCAGGACTAAACCAGGACTAAACCAGAACTAAAACCAGAACTAAAACCAGGTCTAAACCAGGTCTAAACCAGGACTAAACCAGAACTAAAACCAGAACTAAAACCAGAACTAAAACCAGGTCTAAACCAGGTCTAAACCAGAACTAAACCAGGACTAAACCAGAACTAAAACCAGAACTAAAACCAGGTCTAAACCAGGTCTAAACCAGGACTAAACCAGGACTAAACCAGAACTAAAACCAGAACTAAAACCAGGACTAAACCAGGTCTAAACCAGAACTAAAACCAGAACTAAAACCAGGTCTAAACCAGGACTAAACCAGAACTAAAACCAGAACTAACACCAGAACTAAAACCAGGACTAACACCAGGACTAAACCAGGTCTAAACCAGGACTAAACCAGAACTAACACCAGGACTAAAACCAGGATTAATCCATTCCAGGACTAAACTAGGACTAAAGTAGGTCTAAACCAGGTCTAAACCAGGACTAAAACCAGTGATCTCATATATATTTCTTTATCAATAATATTTTTAATATGGTTAAGGAAAGACTGGACTTTTTATTGTCTTTAAGTAGACAAAAGTTATTATGTTCAGATTTCCTCGTCTTTGCTACTTTACAACCAACAGTTTCTTATTTATGGAGACTTGGGCTCAACAGCCAAATTGGAGAGATTTGTTAAACAATAAATGACTTTATAAAGTCACTTTTTTTAAATCTATATTAGTCTTTTGATCTGCCACAATAATGTAATGCAATTTTTAGGTGAGATTAAAATGAGATTAATTAGATTAATTAATTACAGATCATAATTAATTAATCTCTCAATTTTTTTTATCGCATGACAGCTCTAATTTTATTATACTTTTATGGTTTTTGTCAGTAATACATACATGATACATGATGCTTTTCATTTCAGCCACTGGACTATGAAGAGATGGCTAAAAAAGACCTTACCATCATGGTGGAGAATGAAGCACCATTTTTCCACTGCACAGTAAAGGAGAAAGTGGTCTCTGGCTTATGGGCAGTAGATCGGGTCAGAGGTGAAGAAGCAGATTCTTTTCAGACTGTAAAAGTCACCATTGAAGTGGAAGATGTGAATGATCCACCTGCATTCCTAGTGACAGTGAAAGAGGTCATTTTGGAGGAGAACTCACCTGTTGGTACCTGGGTGGGAAATGTGACAGCACACGACCCTGACTCCATGCATCCAAGGGATTTTGTGTGAGTCATATATATAATACAGATCATAATCCTATAACAGTAATAAAACCATTTAGCAGTTCACAAACAGGGCTTTACCTCATCCTCTCATCATCATAACACATGTTAAGTTTGCATGATTTTTCTGTGTATTGGTGGGTTTGCATAGAATGCTTTCCCAAACATCCTAAAACAAGGCAGTGATGGTCTGGTGGTGCGGCAGGAACCCTGGAGCGCACTGACGAAAACTGTTTGTTTAGTAGCTGTGGGATGATGAAATTATATTTTTACGTGTAATTGGTACTGCCCCCTTGTGGCTGGAGTTAGTAGCTGGCCACATTTTGTAAATTATTATCCATGGCTATGGTGTTATTCAGCTCTTGATTAACACTGTATGTACAAAATATGTTACCCTAAACTTTTAATTTGGCAGTTTTTTTTCTTTGTGCAGGTACAAAGTTGGTGATGATCCAGCTGGGTGGGTGAAGGTAGACCCCAAAACAGGTGACATCATAACTGTTAAAGTCGCTGATCGTGAATCATCTCATGTTGTCAATGGCATCTACACAGTGTTTATTTATGCAGTAGACAATGGTACTACTTATACCTTCATATTTTACTCATTTACTAAATAATTAAATAACATGATGCATATTGTATTTGTTTGGTAAGGAGAGCCACAGATGACAGGTACTGCTACGGTGAACATATATATAGCAGACCAGAATGACAATGTACCACAGTTGGCGGTGGACTTTGTGGACATATGTGTGTCAGATGACATCACCACAACCAACATTACTGCTTTTGACTTGGATGAGAACCCCTTTGGAGGCCCTTTTACATTTGAGCTGCTAGGAGATGTACAAGACAAATGGAGACTCAACCCCTCTTATGGTTAGAGCTGCAGTCCAATTTATTAGCTCCCCTTTCATTGTGGAAATCAGAATCAATGAAATGGAAATTGCTGTTAATGAGGTTATTGTTGATAATATATAATAGCATTAAATAATTAATTAACAATGTGCACACATGTCTACAACAGTAAATGGCCTTATTTAAGGAAGGTTCCTCTATTTTTGTGCAGGTTACACCGCTGGCCTGGTGAAGGAGTCTGGAGTGTTTGTGGGTTCACACACAGTCAATGTGAAGGTCTTGGACATGCAAGGAGAGTTCGGTGTCTACAGCCTTAATGTGATTGTTTGTGACTGCTCTCTTGCACCAAACTGCCGATTACGTAGAGAAAGCACCATCGCCACATCTTCTGGGGCAGTTGGCCTTGTGTTTTTTGCAATTCTGCTACTCTTTGGTAAGAGACACACAATTTCATCTTTTGTCATGGGTGTCTGCTCCGTCATCAGTTTGAGTAAAAGCTACAAGTAAAAGGGGAATTATAATAAATATATTGGACTAAGCAATGGTTTGAACAGTGCAGCCTTGGAAATATATTTATAAAATATTTTTTAAAAGAATCTACAGTAAGTGGTCTAATTAATATATATAAAAAGTCTGCCTCTGTTTAGACTATTGCAGTACTTAATGCCACATTGACTGCATGAAATACAAGTTACAGGAACAGTACAAGAACATCATGTTCATTTGTCGTGACATTCTGCATCATGTGTTTTGTGTTATGCAGCTGGATTGTTGCTGGCTCTGTTTGTTACCTGTAAGAAAGAGTTCACTCCCATTCAGATTCCAGATTCAGAGGGAACAACACTGGCTTCAGACATAGAGGAGCCAGGGACAGATTGCATGGTACAGCAAACACTTTACACATTGCTTTAGTTGTTCATTGGTTGATGATTAAAATACACTGTGTATTGAATCATTTTTGTATAGGTACCTTTAAATGTGCACACTGGTTCGACTGATGAACAAATTTTTAAAATGCATGATACAGCCCAGCATTTTATTTCTACAAATACGGTACAAAATAACTGTGACCTTGTCAATTATTAAACAAAACAAAACAAAAAAACTATTATTAAAAAATAAATTTGTTCTGTTTGCAATCCAATAGAATATGATACAGAACACACTGAACTCACACTATACAGAATATAGTGAACAATTTTCGCAGCACTTTCACCACCACCACAGGAATGAGGTAAGATGCATTTTACTTTTACTTCTACAAACTCCTTCTGTAAACATAAACATACTTGTTTATTTTTCTTCTAGTGGATACAATATTCAGATGAAGCCCTAGGAGAACAGGTCATCTAATATTTTAAGTTTTGTATCTGAGTGAATGGTTGGATGAACTATAATCCAGTTATGTGAAAATTACACCCATAGATGTTCGATATTTTATCATGTTGCATTGCCACAAAATCAACCTTGTGTGTTTGTGTTTGAGTGTGTGTGACTGAGGTCTGTGTTGCGTTGGATGGATATGGGGGATCAGGTGCGGGAGAATGATTTTGATTTATGGTATAAAAAGTACTTAAAAATAAAAAGATTGACTGAAAATAGAAGGAAAGTATCTCAAAGCCATTTAGGGCTAAAAGTCTGGGAGTAAGGGCAGCTAAAGAAATTAAAGACAATAACTAAACACAAAATGTATTCTTAAGCACCCCCAAAGTAAAGCTGCACTATACCAAATATCAGTATCAATATTAAACATACATAGAAAAGCAGTACCCAGTCTCAAACATATTTATATGCATAGAACACAAGTAGAACAAACTGAATATTGTGGAAAAACAGTTTGCAATTATACACTCACTGTCCTTTATAAATATGGGTTTACTTATATCAAGTATTTTAGAGAATTTTAAAAGTGACAGCAGCGTAAGGTTAAACTAGGAGACTTTATTTTTGTTGACATGAGTGTAAATGTTTATTGTGCAGGGGTCCAGAGAAACACATTTTACACACAGCTCAAACTCAGAAAGTGTGCAGAATGAAGCTATCCTGGCATTGCTTCAACGGGTAAGTTTAGGAACCACGCTGTACATGTGCACTTTACTGGTACACACATAATGACCACACTATGCCCACAGAGGTTAACTTTGCTCCGGGAGATTGAGGATGAGCTGCTGGACTATGAGCCTCATCTATACACAGAGGAGGGAGACGAGGACGGCCCCACAGAGCTGGAGAGCATTTCCATCCCAGAGACTGACTCTTTTCACAATGTTCTGCACAACCTCAGCCCAGAATTCAGAAACTTGGCTTACATTTGCAGAATGCAAATAAAATGTTAAATGGACCTGCAGTTTCAGGAATAATACAGGAGCAAGCCGTACGCACGCTGAGCTGTTTTTATATTAGAAAACAAAACAAAAAACACACAACATACATAACCATTTTGTGTGCAGCAAGATTAATCACAATACATTGTAGTTTGAGGCAATTTAATTGGCACCTTTGAGACAGAATTTACATGTTGAAATCAAAACACTCCACATTTCATACAAGACAAAGATGCTCTATCTAGTCATCTTTACAATATAGGAGAAAATGAGTCAGTAGACAAATAAACAAAAACAAGCATGCTGGTTAAGGATAAAACCTCAAAGCATGCCTCTAACCAACTACTAATCCACTTCTAGTGGACAGATGCAGTTGTAAAGAAAATGTTTCCCCCCATTACACATTTACAAGCACAATATACAAAGAAAACAGCATATTTAATTTAGCATGTCAATGGAAAAAAGGAAGCACTTATTTAATAAGTAGAAAACTAGAATTTAGTTATTTACAAAAGAAAAATTACACCCTCCCACTACCAACTTTTGGGAGGGGCCTCTGCTCAGTGTTGCTCTGGCCTCTGCGTCCTCTGCCTCGAAAGCCTCTCCCCCTTAAGAAGCGCCCAGGCACACCAAACGTTTCAATGTTCAGCTTCTTCTCCTCAGCCCAAGTAGTTCTCCTGCACAGTGACAACTCAATATTGCATGTTCAGATTACAATAAATCCATAAACTTTACCTGGGCTTGAGATCTGAGGAGATATTGTCAAAGAAGCACTTTGTCTTGTCATAGTATTTATCTCTCAAACTTTCCTTTTCTTGAGTAGTTGGGCAGCTTTCAGACTCTCCTGATTCCACCTTCTCAACTGTACAAAAGGAAGAAAACAGATTTAATGTAATAGTATATTATCTTAAAGCCAAAGGAAAAACTGGCTCCATACCTTCAACCTCTTTAGTGAGATCATTCTTAAACTGAGCATTTGCAGTTTCAAAATCAAAGTCTGACTCAAACTGCAAAGTTGTAGCCTTTGAGTTCTTTACCAAAAGCTGTCCTTTACTTCGGTTTCGGGACCTGCGATTGGCTAAGGTAGTTTTAAAAAGGGGCACAATTAAGTTTTTAACTCAAAGTAAATTAAACCATTTCAAGATCATCACCATCGATCTAGACAAGCGATTGACATGCATGGATGTACAGACTACCTTGTTTCTGGCGACGCTTCTGGCTGTCTGCTTGGGTTTGAACTTTAGATGCACTTGGTTGAGATGAAGACCGATCTGAGGAAGTGAGACATCATCATCATCTACAGTAGTCTACAACAGGTAGGCTAAAGTGTACTTACTGGAGGGCACATTTTCTTTCTGAGCCTGGGAGGTGTCCTGGTTGGCGCGCTGGCTGGGGCGGACAGGCTGTCTGCTCTGTGGTTGTGCTGGGGTCTTCCCTTTCTTCTGACCTGCAGGGGCCAGAGGAACTGTCTGCACAGCCTGTTCAACCATGGGCGCTCTTCTGGCCGGAAAGCCATGAAGACCTCAGGAAAGAACCGTATAAATGTTAAAAGGAAAATCTTCACTGATGCAAATCTATTCTTTAAAAATTCTGCCTCCAAAAATGTAGATTTCTGCACAATAGAACTTCATGAGTAGACAGACCTGGCATCAACCATGCATTGAGTGGGAGTGAAGTTACCTAGTCCCAGAGCTGCATTGTACTGTTGGTTCAGTAAGGTGCTAGCAGCAAGCTGATTGTAGCTGGGCATCATGTCCCTATATGGGCTCCAGCGAGGGTGGTACCCAGAAGAGCTCCCGAGGGATGACTTCAGAAACACAAACAATAACAGCTATATGCACGTTTTTCCTGTTGTTACTGTAAATCCAAGTACATAGCAAAGGAATCCTACTGTAACTGCCACCATACCCATCATAAGTGTGCCCAAGACTTAAAACTACAGCCTACTCATAACCTTGCAGGTTACCTGTACAATTGCAGGATCACGTGGCAGTCCATGGTGCTGTTTGGGAGGTTCAGAGACTGTGATATCTTTGATATCGCTTCCTCTGAAGATTATAAATTCATACACCTCATCTTTGGGGGGCACTGGTCTGTCAGTGTGTCGATCTTCTGTTCCGTACGATTTTACTACAGAAGAAAACATTTGAGTAATACACTATAGGGGAACGTCTGTATAGATACAGGTGGACAGCCTACCTTTGGCTAACGCAACCGTGGACCTGTCCGTGTCCACCGAGGACAGTATGCCCTCATAACGGATTTGTGCCTTAGATATTAAACTTATTTTGCTGCCAATGTACGGGGTTCCTCCGCCACTCATGGCTACTCTGATAAAGAAACAGGTTAACTGCTACAAAGATGCTAATCTAGGAACACCAAGACATCCGCAAAAGTGAGCAGCAAGGTGCGCAATTAACGCACACCTGCGCGATTTATCACAGACAGAGGTAATCAGACTCAGCTGCGCCATATAACCATGGCAACAGACTGCGCACTTTCGGTTAGTGAAAAGTATTGTGTCCTTTTGCAAGACACTTCGCCACATTACCTAATATGAAAGTAATGTGTGCGTGAGTGAGTTTCAAAAAAATAAATATACTAAATAGAATGCTTTCTTACATTTTTTAAAAGATGCTTAGTGTAGATCTATTTGTGTAGATCTAGATCTTTTTTCTAAATATCCTACAGTTCGTTCGTACGTTTTTAATACTGCAAAAAACAACAACAACAAAAAAAAAACAGCTATGTGACACCTTTATCTCCATATATATATATATATATATATATATATATATATATATATATATATATATATATATATATATATATATATATATATATATAATAAATAAATGAATTAAAAAAGTTTGGGTATTAGTACTGAATGGGAGACCCATAATTCAGTCGGTCTCTACCATCACTAGGGCCTATACTAGGGCAGCCATGTCTACAAGCTCACCACAATGGAGTAGAAATGCCCAAAATAAAAAAATAAAAAAATAAAAAACTTTCAGTGCCTGTTAAATATAGGCTATACGTCTAATGCAATATTATAATATTATTCGATGAAAAATATGATGGTGGTCTATGCTGTTTTGCTGTTTTCCCTTAGGTTAGTTTGGTCACTGTATTATTTCTACAATTATGCTTATTGTGTTATGTGCTATTACTGTCAAAATGGTGGCACTATTGGTGGAATTATAGTCCACTCACTGAATATTAAAACTACACTTGGTCACGAGCAGCTGAGTAGGCCTAATAGGCCTATTGCTCTGTAAACGGAGGGTGTGGCGCCCTCAATCGCCTCTTTACAACAACTTCACTTGGTGGCCAAAACACTGCAGCCATCTTGCCCAGCTTATAGACAGCAACTAAACTGTAAAATTTGGATCATTCGCTTGACGTAAACTAAGTTCCGACTCCAAAAAAGTATTCGCGTATAAATTTCAGAACTAATCGTCTTTTGATCGTGTATTAACTCGTCAGCAGAGCTGAGAACTTTGACGAAAAAAGTTAATCTCCGACACGATGTTGTTCCGTCTCAGGCATCCCGTGGAATGACAGCTGGAGCCATTGGTACCGCCTTTTACAGCGCGGCTCAGCCAATCAGAGCGCGCAGAGCTCCTCTCTAGGAGGAGGCTGAACGTTGTGCGCATGCGCACGTCAGGCGGTAAGTACCTCACTTCTCACAAGCTCGCAGAAGTGTGAAGATGGCGGTTGGCTCTGGCTCGATGGATAAGCTTTTTTTACTTTCCGAGGTGAATAAAGATGTAGCATATCATCAGCTGCAATCTGTAGAGTCACAACTGTTGTTCTTGTGCAATAGTAACGCCTTGTTAACGAGGCAACCGGTTATTACATAGTTATAGTTCCGGGACAAGGGGTAATGCGAGCTAATGTCCAGCTGAGACTTTGTGATTGCTAAAGCAGGTACGATCTGTAACTACTACTGATGATGTTTTCCTCTGCATTTTTTTCTCTTAAGTACGAGCAACAAGCACCAGAATTGACAGAAAGTATCGGCGGATTATTGCCTGTCCAACACGTCTCTACTCCTTCTAGCCAACTTAAATTGCAGGGGGGGTGTTAATAACCAGTCCCCAATGGTTAAACTATGGACGCACCGACGAGCAGCACGGACTCCTCTGGACACGACCCTGGCAAACCACTTGTTGTCAGTGGCGGTGTAACTTCTCTGCCCGCTACCCAGGGGAAAGTCGACACATTGTCAGTGCAGACTTTGAATGGGAGCCAAAGTATGAATTCTCACAATTCAGGAAGCGCAGCCCCTTTACTGGGGACTGCAGGGACAAGTGGCCCAGGAAACAGCAGCACCAGTAGTACATCTGTCAACAGCGGGCCAGTGCTGACAAAAGTGCTGCCTTCTTCCAATAGCGTTATTCAGACGTCTCCATTGAACTCTCACACGCAAGCTGGAAGCCAGGCAGCAGGGGCCACTGTGACACTTGTTAGACCACCTATGCACATAGTAGCTCTCAATGGCAACAACAATGGCAGCCCTGTAGCTGTCACTTCAACAGGTATCAGCATATCGGCTCCTCAAGTAAACAACAACCCGGATCCCAGCTCTGTGACTGTCAGCACAGGCTCAAATGTTGTCAAGCAGGAGCCCACCACAACAATAATACAGTCCCCACCTCAGCAGGCAGTCAGTCCCAGGACCCCAGTTTCTCTTTCTGCCAGTCCAGGTGGTGTTCGAACTCCGACTCCCCAGATGTTAGCACCAAGACTACCCCAGCCTACTCCTGGACAGCCCAGTGTGCATAACATCCAACTCCCGCCAGGTGAGGAAATGTTTTAGAGACATTCATTGATGATATTGTTATGTGCATTTGATTAAGGCTTACGACTTCTTTAAGGATCAGTTTTTCCTGTGCTAACTGATGGGTGATGAAAGTAAAATTAATTATTGACTTTATTATATTTGAGGTGGAATGGTACTATTGCTGTTATGGTTTAACCATGTACTTCAGTTGGAAACATTGCTTCAGTGTTTGACTTCAGTGGAAACATAGTTGTTTAATTTGTTATTTGTCAAGCACCTCATTTTACATTCACTTTTATTACAATGCAAATCTTTATATTATCACTCCATTTATGTTATTTTAAGTTGCAGTGTACTGACAGTTTAATATTTGGTTATTAATGAATGCACATGTTACAAAGGTATTACAAAATGTTCACTCGCAAGCCACATTATAACAATTTTGCATACAGAATTTAATTAAAAACTATGCATGTATTTATATGTAATGCTTTCTTCTCAGTGTGCATAAACTTGTAATTCCAGTAAAATAATTAATACATAAAAATCATCAATGAATCAACTGTACAACCAACGGGTAGTATATAATCATTTGGTTTTACTACCCATGTATGACAGAACATACCTCTTAATAATACAACTAGCTTAAAGTTGACTACGTTACTTATTCAAATGTGACTGTATCTAAGTGTAACACTACAATACTGCAATGTATTTTAACAGTTCTTTGTGTGTAAAATGCTCCAGGGATGGTGCTTGTTCGCAGTGAGAGTGGACAGCTGCTGATGATTCCTCAGCAGGCTCTTGCCCAGATGCAGGCCCAGGCTCAGGGAAGCTTGGCACCACGGGCAGCCACTCCAACAAACATGCAAACTCCTGTACAGGTAAGACACCACCTGCAGAGAGTGACAAATGACACCTGTGGCAGCTTATCTGGTCTATCACTAAAGATTCCGTTCTCGCTGTCTCTTCCTATATTTACATCCATTTGTTTACAGTGAAAACAAGCAGACCTGCATTGGAAAAATTGCTTCTTTGCATTTTTTTTACAAAGCAAAAAATTAAGGACTGATTTCTATGTATCATGTTTCTTCCAGACATTGATATTGTTTTAGATCAGCTGGTAAAGTCAGGTATTATACACAAATGTTCAGTGGTGGAAGGTAAGAAGGTAAAAGTAGTACTGTACTTAAATATATATTTTAGGTATTTGTACTTTACTTAAGTACATTTTAAAGTGGATACTTTTTACTTTTACTTCACTACATTTGAGAGCTTGCATTTGTACTTTCTTATCCACTACATTTTTAAACTAGACTGAAAAGTGAAAGTATTTTTTATTAATGTTTGAGACCTGCTGAAAAGGCTGAGGGTTTATTTTTAACACATTTGTAGTTTGAGCAAACAAAAACTTACAAATAAACCAGCTAGGAAAAAATTATTGATTTTATTGTTTCTACTGAACAAAATTCAGTGCAAATCTTGCTACATTTTAAACATTATTAGATCTCAAAGGAACAGAAGTTTGGAATTACTGTAAATATTGTTCACACAGACCCCAGGAAATGCTGTCATCAGTCGACCAGTGACCCCCAGCACTGTCATCAGACCGGGAGGCCCTGTGCCAACCACTCTTCCAAAAACCACCACACTTCATAGACCCCCTATTCTTCAGGTAACATGTCCTGAAAGAGACTTGCTACTACAGTGACAGAGAATAAGCTATTACTTGTTTGGTCCTGGTTTCAGCCCATTCTAATTCTGATGTAACCTCTGTGTTCAGTCCTAGTTTAATTCTGGTCTAGTCCAGGGTTAGTCCCAGTTTAGTCACAATTTTAAAGAGGTATTTGTGCATGTGTAAACACACCCTATGTAGATTTTTGGTGCCATACTTGATGGATTCTGTTGTGTTGTTATTCACTCTTTCTCTGAGCGCCTGCTTTAAAATATCACATGTGTTCCCCTTCTTTTTCTGAAGAGTGCAGTTGGCTCTGCAGTGCCTGGAATGCCCCCCAGACCAAGTGGTCCCACAGTTACCTCACTAACATACAGTAAAGTGAGTTACCAAGTGTCTTGAGTGTGTATGCCAAACGTTATGATTGTGCAATATTTATTTGTATTTGATAATATTCTCATGCCAGGAGACAATGGAAAATGTGAACAAATGTAAGAACTTCCTGTCTACATTAATAAAATTGGCATCTACTGGGAAACAGTCAACTGAGACGGCAGCATGTGTCAGAGAACTTGTAAAGGACCTACTGGTGAGTGTGTTCACAAAGAGGCTTACATGAAGAACAGTAGTGATATATTGTTTTATGTTATATATTACAAAATTAATAATAAAAAAACCCTGCAGCCTATGTACCTTTTGTCATCCTAGGAGGGCAGACTGGAAGCAGAGGAATTCACCAGCAGACTATACAAAGAGCTGAACTCGTCACCACAACCTTACCTAGTGCCTTTCCTGAAGGTACAGCCTGTTGTTTTCCCAATAGGTTGTGTTAACATGGCATCACAAGATTCTAAACTGGTCATAATTTAAAATTACGATGGAAGGCAAGTCAGAATTATGTGGGAGAATTTGTCTTTTAACTGAAAAATGAACATGTTTGTCCTTGTTCATGCTTAATATCTCTAATTACAAAGCAAAAAATGTCAGAACAAATACAAGTATTCGATCATAGACCAAAGTTTAATATGGCAAATTTGTGGACCCTAATCTGTAACACATTATGACATTATATTCTAGAATGTCATTAACACAAATTGTTCAATGTGCAATTATTGAGTTTTTAACAGAGAATTGATCTAGTGCATCTTCATATTGTGCTGTGTGCAGAGGAGTCTCCCAGCTTTGAGACAGCTCACTCCAGACTCTGCAGCCTTCATCCAGCAGGGCCAGCTCCCTCAGTCAAGTTCAGGTCCAGCCTCCACCATTTCCACAGTGATCCTCAGCAGCCCTGGGCCTCGGGTCACTACATCCATCACCAGACCCCTCCTCCAGCCAGGGGTCACCAAACCAGGACAGTCCCCCTCTCTGGTAAAGGGCTATATTCATATAGTGCATTTATTTTAAGATAGCACTGGACTTAATCTTTATTTCAATGGCCACAGGTTCTCCAAACTCCCCAGCAGAGAGCCATGGTGAGACCTCAGGTAACCTTGCCCACAGCCTCCATGGTAACGCTCAGGAATCATGCTCCAAGTCGAATAATGCTGGGACAACAACAGATCCAGCTTAAAGAGCTACAGCCAGGTGAGATGCTGGGGGAATAATCTGAGTCTTACCAGTGTATATAATGTAACGTTATACACCACCAGAGAGGACACTTTGAAACAGTAAGAGTAAACAAATTCTCTTGTTAAGCTTGGAAAAACATTTAACTGCTATATGATAAAAGGCATACATAGAACAACAATAAAGTTACAAATTAAATTTCAGTAATTACAAAATATACAATTTCTATGTAAACTAGGTATGGCCTGATAATTTCTCTAGAGACATATGTAAACATTGGCTGTAGTGGAGATGTTTAAACATCTTTCTCCTACAGCACTGACTCTGGCTCAAAGAAACAAGCTAAAAGAGGCGGGAGGCACATTCAAGTAAGTTGTTATTTTACTTTCTGAGGTCTCACAAAAAAAATCAGAGATGCATATCCATGTAAAAGAAGGATATGTAAAACTTATTGTATTTGTCCAACCTTGAACACATAAGTCTACCTCTGTCCACCCTTTCCAAAACCTTCTTGAAGGTGAATGACATAACTTTTTGTTTTGTCCATATTCTTCCCAGAGATGATGATGACATCAATGACGTGGCATCTATGGCTGGAGTAAACCTAACTGAAGAAAGCGCTAACATCCTGGCGACTAATTCTAGTCTGGTGGGGTCTGTGACACATTCTTGTGAAGATGAGGCATTTCTCTCCTGTGCTTTACTACAGCGGAGGATGTTGGAGATTGGTGCGATTGACTGGCTCTTTTCACATTGTGTAGTGCTCTCCCTTTCAGACTTTAAGGCTGTGCTTCTCTTCTTTAGGGAGGAGACATGGGGTGACAGATTTTGGTGGAGATGTGGTGAAGTTGGTGTCTCATGCCACTCAGCAACACCTCCAAAATTTGTTGGAAAAGGTTACACAAGTAGCTCAGCAGAAAAACGTCAGCTTTAAGGTTAGTGTTGTTAATTCAATTAGCTATATTCATTTGCCTCTTTAGACAGTAAGGCAATTCCTTTCTTTGTTGGTAGGACAATGATAACTGCGAGCAAAGCAATGATGTTCGTGCACAGCTCAAGTTTTTTGAGCAGCTGGACCAGTTAGAAAAGCAACGCAAGGAGGAACAGGAGAGAGAGATACTCCTAAAGGCAGCTAAGGTAAAGTAATGCAGATATTTTTCTTACCAAGTCACATAAATTCTATAAATGCCTAACACATATTGATTAATTTATAAATGACCTCTAAAGAAATAAAAACATCTGGCCCAGAGATTTAAAATGCACATATCTTTTGATACCATTGTTGTATGTACGTCACATTGTGTCATGTTTGAAATTATAGTCTCGAGCTCGGCAAGAAGACCCAGAGCAACTACGACTGAAACAGAAAGCGAAAGAGGTAAAGTTTCACTGTAATGTCTAATTCTAATGTCTTGTAACTGCACACATTTATTTAAATGCATCTTCATTTTGTTTAAATGGTCCAGATGCAGCAGCAAGAGCTTGCACAGATGAGGCAGAGAGAGGCCAACCTGACAGCTCTGGCAGCCATCGGACCCAGGAAGAAGAGGAAGATTGGGGACTTTTCTTCCTCCTCTTCTGCCTCTGAGGTACACAAGGGTCATCTAGGAAGGCCTAGTTCATACTGTTGTGTCCTTAGGCAAGATACTTGCCTAGTAGGATGTGATGTGTTAGTGAATAGTCAGAATGGCTGATGACACAGATTGGCTTCCCTCCTTAAAATAGGATAGTAGTATCATACCACCATGAGTGTGGCATGCCAAATTTCCAAATAGGGATAATAAACTGTACCATAACCTTATATAAATCCCATGCATTATTACCTGTTCCCCGAAGGGTTGACCAGGTTTTGTATTCACCCGGTGTGTCTGTGTGTCTGTCCACCCGTGATAATGCTGCCATTTATGGACCGATTGTCACCAAATTTGGTACGTGGGTCAAGCCCCCCATGCTCGATGCTGCAAAAAAAAAAGTTTGGTGACGATCCGAGATTATTTGAGGTCACACGCGTCAATTGAAAGGTCACCCCATTATAAAGGATAGGGAATTTTGGCAATTTTAAAATAATAATAATAATAAATAATAATAAAATATTCACCCAATCATCACACAAGTTGGCGCACACATAACTGGGGTACACTGGATGTTACAGGTTGAACCTGGTCAACGTCACTTGAAGGTCAAGGTAACCAAGGTCAAATATGCATTTTTGGTCATAACTAAGTGTAAGTGAATCAAGCTAGAGCAACGAGAGTGGCCTCAAAATCTCAGAAAGATTTGTATCTATTTACAATTCTATGCATTTGTATAGTAAAATATTAGTTTTCAAGGTAATCACTAATTATAACAGTTCCTTTCTCTTTCAATGTATGCTGTTAAAATTCTAATTGGAATGAAAATAATTTCCATTTCTTGTTTTTCTGGTGATACACAACACACTGATCTGAAGTCACAGAACTAACATATACGGAACTCATGAAAAATGACATTTAGGTTACACACTAGTAAACACACACATTCTCATGTGTGACCAATATCACACAAATGTTCATGGGCCTGTACAGATACACACATTGCATTGTGGATATACCGATCACGTAATATGTGCTGGACTCCTCATAAGCTGCTTCCGTGGTGATGAAATGCCCCCACTGATGCCTCATGGGGACCAGGTTGCTATCTCTGATTGCGCTTGTTGTTATTATAATTTGGTGTAACTGCTCTCTGTAAAGAACTTTTTTAGCTCTTAGTTATTTATTTACTAACTATTATTATTAATATAGCCTAGATCATTTATTTTGTCCACCTCTGCAGCCAATCACTTTTGTCAGGACTTTTTCCATAAACCAACTTCATAATTTTGGGATTACATTATATATTTGCATAATCAATAGGCTAGTCACATTGTACTACTACTACTACTCTTGCAATTATATATTTGGAGATCACTGATCCATTGTAAAATTAAATTGTAAATATTTGGCAAGAAGAGCACAGCAAAGTGCCTGTCATAAAGATTACCTGCTCTCACTTGTGGTCTGTTTTCCCCATAATGCATTGCAGGGCTCTGGAACAGCCTCGTCTATGTCTGGAGGGGCTTCTGCATCAGGCTCCAGACCCACGCGGCAGCGCATCACACGCGTCAATCTCAGGGACCTGCTCTTCTGTTTGGAGAATGAGAGATTTACCAGTCGCTCCCATTTCCTCTACAAGGGCTTTCTCAAATAGACTTAATGTCAGACAGGACCCAGAGAGAGAGGGAAGTGAAGAGCACAAAGTGACTCTTAAAGTGACAAGGAGGAGAGTGCAGACCGTACTCAATAATTGGAGATACCCCATCTCCCTCCTCGCTCCGCAGACACTTCCCTTTATTTTTAATGATTTGCATCTTGTTTCCAAGTGCTAAAATAGATTCTATGTTTTTACGAAAATTTGTATGAATAAGTGACTTATTGTATAATTATGCACTGTAATAACTACAGTTTATTTTCTGATCATTTTTATGCACAAGTTTAAGAAAAACAAGATATCTTTTAATGAAAAAATTATGACATTTTAAATTCTGTTAACATTTTATTGTGAATTAGACTGTGTAACCTACTGAGTTGCCTTCCTAACTATGAAGAAGCCATATAGTCCCCCCTTAAGCAATTAACCCTGCTGTAACTAAGAAACAGTAGCTTATGCTTTGCTATGTCATCTCTGGTTACTTTACTTGATTGTTTTATTGTATTTATTTACTAAACATGGGCTTAAATTAATGTTTAGTTATTTATTGACACGTAACAGTCACTGTTGGATTTGGTATTAGGCTCACTGAGAGAAAAACAATCGAGACATTACAAGTATGGAAAGGCTTCATTTGCAGCATAATTTTGATTGATCTAATAATTCTTACTTTCATTTCAAATTTAACAGTAAAACATTATTAAGATGTTATCCTGTGTTTGTATAACAAAGTCATTTTTAAATGTTCCTATACTCATGGCTACTTAAGAATATCTTGACAAAATACTTTGATACTCTTGAAGTTTTCAGCTCAGTGTTGCTCTAATACACTGCCCATTGTTGCCCTGATGATTTTCTAATCATTTGCATCTTTTGTATTGTGTTGTGGGTTTTCAGATGTTATAGCATAAAATATGTCTTTACTTTTTCTTTGCAGCAGTTAATTGTGTTTGTAAGAAACTGTAGTTTGACACAATTTGTTGCTGAAATATTTCTTTTACCCTTTATTATTTATCACTTCTCTAAAATCTAACTAAAACTATTCTATTTTTCTAGCTTGCCACCCTTGCATATTTTTACTTTTGAAATAATTTGTACATCCAGTTACTCTTACTTGCTTATATTCTGGTGTGCTACTGAACTTTTTAGGTTTTGACTCGAGTTTCTTGTACATTTGTAAATGTTACCTAAAGTTTTACACAAATTTGTATAGTATTGAGAATTTAACCCACAGGGAAAAATCATAGCATTTTCTCATTATTATAACATTGAATAAATACAGATTTTTTTTACAATAATTACTACAGACATTTAATTCAACTGACTGTCATTGTATTATTGAAAGGAATTTTACTGGCTCAAATATTGGAATTGTAGAAGCCACTCTATTGACTATGGTACTTTGAAATATTTTTTCAGGCATTTTTAAAAAAATGTATAACTAATCTGGAATTACCTGGTGTTTATCATTGATATTGGTATTGAAAATGCAAGATTTTCCACTTGTTGAGCCTGTTTATAAACAGCAGAGAGACCCCATACACAGTAGTACATATTTATAGATGAAAGAGGGAAGTTGTGGTGTGCAACAGATGGTTAACAAAATGGGGCAGTTTCAGTATCAGTACCAATTCTGCTAATTGTGCTAAAACATGAACAGTCACAAAATAAATAACATTTTAATCCATTTGTTTCTATTGATAACATATTTAGCATGCACGTGTTATAGTACTATTTATCTTGATCTAGATTTTGATATAATGGTGACAAATTTCTTATAGACTGCTGTTTATATTTATAATGTCACTAACACTACTGCTAATTATATACCATCATGTGCTCCTTAAAAGAAATTCTGCTGTGCGCGTTTATAATTGTGAACAATCCACTGGGGGGCAGCATTGCATAGTTAGTGTCAAGGAAGACGTTATTAAAGTGCAACTAACAGAGAGAATAAAGCGTTCTCAAAGTTGCAGGAGATCTTAACACTTAATTCCCCCATTTGCACAACACATATTAATCTACGTTTAATGTCTAATAGCAAATGCATTCAGTTCTGTGAGGAGCATGAGAGCAGAACAGCGCTAAATCCCTTCACCAGCCTTTTCCATAATCATAACAACACATGGAGAATGGGCCACATCTGGCAGATCAGCTGTTAAGTCTCCCTACCACTAGAGCAGGATTCAATTAGGCCGTTCTGTCTGCGGGATGGTGGCCCGATGCTGCCATGATTGGGAGCAGGTTTTATGTGCACAGCAAATGGGAACTTTCAGTTAGCAGCAGATAAAATAAAAGACCATTTTCCATTAGTACGCAGTTATCCTGGGAACCTCTAGGTGGCAGCATCTCATTTAATCATAATCACTCGAAACCCAAACGCACAATGAGAAAAGATGCACACACTGAAGTTGCTTAAATTGTATCAGATATTAAGTAGAACCTGGGTGAAGGTTGCCTGACCAGCCAGTCCTTTCTACATTCTGTTTGAATGCAGACCAGTCTGGACCACAGAGCATGAAAAACCTCAGTCCAAACTTGAGACGATCCAACCACAGCCACTAATTTGTCGGTGTCTTTCAAATGCAGAAGACATCTCCTCTTGAATATTCTCATAAATTCAGAACAAAATATATAACTCCTTTTGTCTGAGATAGTTTGGTGCTTCGATTGTTGATCTGACAAAATCCATACTATTCTTAGTCATGTTTTTTCCTCCTTTTTTATATGTAAGCAGCAGGGTTTGTTTTTGACTCAAATGAAGCATGCGTCTCTCCGATTGGTTAATTTGCCAGCCAGTCACGCCCTGTGAAATCAGACAGAAAGGATACAGCTCCAGATCCACTCGCCTTTGTGAAATTTTGTCATTGTGTGTGGTGGTGGTTTATAATATTTCAACCTATAGGGCTACAACATACACTTTCAGTATTTTTGGGAAGAAGTGTCAATTCAAAGCCTCTTAAAAGACGCAGAATATAACTTTTCAGGTGGTGGGTTACCACCTGCTTGTCACTATGGAGATGTTATTGCTTATGTTTAGTTTGGCTTTGAATGTTACACAGTATGGTATTAAACCTCAATTCTTTGAAGAGGTGACCCTGCTAATGGTAAAACTGCATGTTTTTGGCAAGGTGTTTTGCAAGCTAATAATCAATATTAATAGGATATTATGCCACAGGTTGTTTTCAGGTTAAACAAGTTTGTGGAGCTGGTCATCCTCTTCAGTCCTGACGCACTTGAGGTTCCAGTCATATGACACAGGAAATAAGAGATGATCATTGTAAACATTAATTCTGCTTGTTGAACACTGAATGTCTTGAGATCAAGTAGGGACACCATTTTTATCCCAATGATGGTGGTTACCAGCGTTTAGTCAACAACATCTATGCAGTTCTTGGACAAAACAGGCTTCTTGCTTTGGTATGCATCAGGGCTGATTAAAATATTGATACAGTAATATGTAGTAATATTAAGAACTTATTGGCAATATGTGTATGAATAGAGATGTGTATCATGTAATATAAACTGTAAAGATACTTGTATTGATCTGCTGCTAAGGTTACTTATTCAGAGGACAATTCTATTAATAAATTAAAGTCATTATGAATGTGCAGTTCAAGTGCATTTTGTTATTGCACATAATAAAAACATAAATTACGTAAACTATTAATATTAGTTTTAAGAGATACCCATGCATTAGGACATGTTTTGTATCAAGGTGCCAGTATGGAGATACATATCGTGTCATGAGTTTATCAGGATACATACTGCATTGTGAGGTACTTGGTAATACCCAGCCCTAGTATGTGGTGTGTGACTGGTTGGATGTACCACCAGTTAGGATACATTCCGTTATAGGCACTGTTAGTGGTAATGTTGTTCACCAGCTCACGTTTCAGTACTTGGCTTACAGTCGTGTACCTGCACTGCACAGTTCACACTGCGATATTACCTGGCTCATGTAAGCCTGCAGGAGTAACGGTCGATATAAACCAGAGAATATCCAACATTTCCTGTCGGAGTATGTGGATGCAGGAATGGCCTCACCTCCTCGTGCCGTTTCCAGATCTAATATTTTTGCTGGTAATCCCCCCTTCCACTCCTCAACACTGCTGCTCTTTCACCGTTAAGTCCACATAAGCTCCCACTTGAGTGCCAACGGCGGAGCGACAACAACGGAAAGGGAGGGTCGGTGAAGCAGGTTGCCATGGCGACACCTCAGCTCGGTGCACCTGAGGGTTGATGGGTAAACACCACAAGCCTGCCAGGGGGGAGCAGCATCACACTTTTGCGCCATACTATTAAAGGAGTGCCTATTAATTTGACATTCTGTGTTGTCACTTGTGCTGGGGCCCCGAGGTGAGTTTACATAATGCCGGTGTTTCTCATTAATTTAAAAGATCACGGCAGCCATACACTCTCATTTAGTCCTGCATAGGCAAAAACTCAACTACACACCTGTTCCCCCTGAGCAGTTACCAACTGAAATATGTCTTCTCTTTATAGTATACATTATTTAACATTTATCATTTAGATACTACAGTGTTATATCATATATATTATTGCCAAAACATGCATGTGAGGCAAAGGCAATAAGCGCTTTGTGTTGCATTTTTGTATGAAAAGCGCTCTATAAATTAAGTTTGATTTGATTTGATGGCAGATGGAAAGGACAAACTTCCATATTATAGTGATATTTAAAGGTCCTATATTACAGAAAGTTAACACTTTTGAGCTTTTATCCATATTAGAATGTTGTTACTTCACCAAAAACATACCTGAAATTGTGTTTTGTTTCATTCATACATGTCTGAGTAATCCTGCATTATTCATCTGTCAACATCTCCAAAGCTCTAAATGCTCTGTTTCACCTTGTGATTTCATGAAGCGGTAGTATTTGAGTTAACAGCTCACTTTATATTTAGTTCAGTAGAAATTGGCAAATTGAGGGCTGAAATTATCCAGATGATTCTGGTGAAGATGTACGGAAGTTAAAAACACATTAAGGCACTTCATTCCACATGACATCACACAGTGGAAAAGTGTTTTCTGACTGAGAGTAAAAAGCCTAAATATGCAGGGCTTGTGTGTTAAACATGTGTGAATGAAACAAAACACAACACCAGTTATGTTTTTGATCAGGAAACAAGATTGTAACAGAGATCAGAAAACAGAGTATGGGCCCTTTAAGCACTTTATAAGTTCATATGTGCTGTTAGGACATTTATTTAGGTCCATTGTTTTCGAGTGGATTGGCCCAGTAATATAATGAAAGCCATAAATAAAACATCTGGATTGGCAATTAAAGTGCTGAATTCTATCCTGCCCCTTAGCTCATTTTTAATCTATAGGAATTCCAGAAATTTGTAATGCCATTTGGACTGTAAAATCCAATCCTACAGGTTATACAAAAAATGCTGAATCATTGAACAAGACTGGATATCAATAAAGCAATATGAAAATAAGTCAGCCACATGTTTCTGATATTACTTCACAAAACTGGTAAAAACCCAGGCTCCCCATTCATAATCCCCCCTCTATTCCCGCTGTGAGACAAATGCAATACTAAAAAGTCCGTTAATTAATTTTATCCCTTTCTACGCCTCTTTGCATATTGTTGATTAAGGCCCTGCGCTTCTGAACGAATGAGTCCTCAGAGGGATGAGACTGGGAGTGGGATTTGGATGTAGTGATGTGTGCACGCTACGTTTCAGTCGCTGCCTTTTACAACCCATTAAAAAGCACCAGCTCACTTTTATGTTGAAACAAAAGACTGATTTGCTCCCATGCGACATCGCTTTATTACTCTTCAACTTTTCACAGCTCCATTTGGGCGCTGTGTCCTTGTCCCAGCGGGGTGAGTGCTGACAGTAGTAGAACCTGGGTGAGTGGAAGTATACGTGGTGAGACAGAGGCTGAACTAAGGCCTGGCTGTGTGTTTGTCATAGCAGTAGAAATGGTGTTGTAAGCCTGGCTGAGCGGCCAAGGTATTGACACAGGGGTTAATAGTCTGTTGCCCTCTTTAATGGAGCCCTACAGAAGGCAATTTCAGAAGGCAGGACACCGGCAGCTACATTTGTAAATAAGTCTTGTATATAAAGACAAACCATACACTAAATATGCTGGAGCATCTTTAGAATGTGCCAAAATACCAACTGCTGATCCAATAAAAAAATCACTCATGAACAAAAATACACAGCTCGCCTTGACTTTATGGGTTCAGGTTGGATCGCATGTGATTATCAGCCTCTTATCCTGTTCTCTTTTAATACATATTACAACAAAGCCAAATCTGGAAGATTGAGGACTGAGAAAATACT